TCTGCGGTCTGTCGACGAAGCTCCTGTTGTTTGCCACGGGCTAGACGGGAGTAAATGATACTGTCCGCACCCTTGCAGAACAGGCGAATAGTACCATCGGGCATTCGGATGATTGCACTCATTCGTTTTCTAGATGAGTTGAATTCAAGGGTGTTCAAAACTCTATATGTGCGTTCCTCGCCCATGATATTCAGGAGAAGATCGTCACCGGCTCGGCCCAGAACAGTGAATCCACAATCTCGAGCAGTGCTGACCAACGCTGCCTCGTCGGGAGACTGGGCCTTGAACTCGATTTGAGGGGGATCGCCCGGAGTGTGCTCGGTAATGACAGTGTGACACAAAGCAAGAGCCAGCATGAAGTCCTCAGTACAGTGCTTCTGCCGCTCTCCAGATTTTCCTCCCAAGTCGGCCACGAAGTTTGGGGCAACGAAAGTCAGCTGGTCGTCGTGCAAGTAAGGGTTGTCATGAATGTCACGCAACAGACCCAGCATTCGCTTTGCATCAGTAGCAATTTGTTGCCGAGCCACTGCGGCCTCTGTATCTGCATCAGCTCCCTCGCGACGCCGCATGCCGATCTGGGCTTCTGTGTAAGCCTCTCCATATGCCTGGCCGTTGACCGTACATTTCTTGAACTCCATCACGTTTTGCGTCAAGGTACCGGTTTTGTCAGAAAAGATGTACTCGACTTGACCGACGTCGTCCGAAATGTTCCAAGACTTGGGCACACAATAGAGGCCTAGTCTCTCATAGTACATGAAAAGATCGCTGTGGATGAAAACCGCTTGGATGGTCCGAACAATTTCAAGAGAAATGTAAAGCGAAATGGGAACCAAGTTCTGGAACAGGATGACAGCAGTCCAGAAGGTGACAATACCAGTGACAGGCGGTGTACCTCCATAGGACCCAAAATCGAAGTAGTCCAGAGATTTGTTTGGCGCGGCCCATGCGATTCCATTCACAATACCAGCGACAAGGCACATGAGGAATAGGATGAAAAAGTTGTGAATGACGTTCCAGTTGAGATCCTTGGCCATACGAGGTCGCTTGGCTGGAGTCGCACCAGAGTTAAGCATGATCTTGCTCTCTCCGCCGGTGAAGAGGACAACACCAAGGACCCATTCGGTACTCTTCAAAGTGCAACCACGGAGCAAGATGTTGTTGATAGAGATGGGCTCAACCATCTCCTTCCGCGGAGCTTCAGGGAAACGTGGGTCGCGTTGGTCCCAACGCACGGCACCGTTGTAAGAGTAGAGATTGGCATGCGGGGCCTCACTTTCGATCACAAATTCGGCCTTTTCGCAGTCTCTGGCATGTCGAATTTGACGACCACAGTGAAGAGCTTGGCGGACTTTCAAGTTGGTCTCTCCATCCAGGCCTTTTGTTTCGATATAACAGGCGCCATCTGGATCAGAAGTGGAGAGAATCACGATATCGGCTGGAATCGGATCTTCATTGTACAAGCGGACGAAGTCACCAACTTGCAGACTTTTCCAATACTCTCGCTTAAATCGGGCCTTGCCGGGTGTCTGCTTGGACATGTCCAAGACAGATCCATGTCTCTTGTCCGGTGTAGGCTCCACAACGCTCTGCCGAGCTGCGCTGTTCGGAGACAGAAACTTGTTTTCATTATTGCTCATCATCGGCCAATCTTCGCGAGCTTCGGGCTGAGGCGATGGAACATCGGTCATGGGGATGGCGACGTCTTCTGCAGCTATGGAGTTGCGCTGGGTGTAAATCGATGCCCGGGGATCTGCTGTACTCATGAATGAGGCACGTCTTTGACCCTCGTCATCTTCTCTTTTCTCTTTCTTCTGAAATTGAGAAGCAATCCACTTATACGAGGCAATCGAGGCCCTAGTACAAGCCTTCTTGATACGACGCCATAAATCAATGTTGTCTTCTGTCGAATTGACATTGTTCCACTCGACCAGTCTGTAAACCGGAGAATTGTTCACCTGATTGTCAGACACCGTCCGCCCCCAATCCTCAATCGCGTCTTTGATAGCGGTCACGACAATAATGACGATTAGAGGAACGGCGTTCAGACCGGGGTTGTTGGCACCGAAAATGGGAAAGAACTAGAATATCATCAGCCAATGTTGATCGGGATTGAAGCCAGAGAAACAAATCTGCATACGTTAAGAATAATGACAAACAAGAAATAGATGTTCGCAATGTTGTGAAACTGTAGCCAGACGTTGTAGGGAACAAAGGTGAGTGCTGTATACTTGGCAGTGCGAATTTTGTTTCTGGGATACGTGATTCGCAAATGACCGTCCTCATCTCGTTCTGATTCCGGGATGGGAATGCTGAAATAGATTCTCCGATTCGGTCCTTCTTGCGGGGTTTCGGGTCCGCTATTGGTTGAGCTGCTTGTATTGTTCGATTTTCGCTTTTCGTCTCTCATATCTGAGCGTTTATGGAAGCGATCAATAATAGAGACACGTTTCTTGATACCTCCAGCTCCGGGAGCTCGTGTGGTAGCCCATCTTTGTCGTTTCGTCGGCTTGGAGACGTTGCTGCTGACCTCCCGAATGTCGCTACTTTGCGCGTTGTTATCATCCCCATTGTCTCCGGGGAAATGCACGGAATCCATCTGGGCCATTCGTGGGCCCAAAGAGGGCATAAAACTTGACAGGAACGTTGATTATTGGTAACTGACAAGCATCCGGTGTAAGACCGGAATCCGACAGCGCCGGGCGCAAGGAAAGATTGCCGGCCTGGGTGCGTTCACAAGGTTGGAGGGCGAGGAAAAAGCAATGTCATGGGCGAGGCAGGTCTCGGGCAAGTCAGGGGGTTCTATAGGCGCGTATTGGATATGTTGTTGTCGACGAGCTCGGGAGGAATCGTCCAAAAGCAATTCAAAACAAGGTTTCCGCGGCCGATCGTAATGGAATATTATTGCAATGCGAAAGCCGGGGGGTTATAGGGCGCACCCACAAGGGGCCATTCAAATACTTTAAGTGAAAAGATATAAAGAGAAGAAGCACCCGTGTGGTTAATTTTTGCTTCGAGGGGTGTGAGAGAGAGAGATGGAGGCCACCCTGAGCTCGTATCTCAGTACGGGAGTATGTAATATTGTTACCACCCGTGCTTACCGATGGGGCCGGGCCAAGATACCTCTGCTTTGTCATTCAAAGTGGACTTGGCAGGAGATTTTCACACGCGTCAACTTATTATATTGGTATAATTTGGTATGATGTGTATTGATTATGTTTTACACTGCCTCTTTTCTCTCGGTCTGGGCATTTTTAGCCATTTTTTAGCCATTTTCATTCATGTTAGCCTGCAGGATAGATGTCACCTAGGGCTGATGGGTTTAAGTAGCCCATGTATACAATCTCGGACTCAAGGGACAATACCTGTAAAGTCCGGTAATATAATGTCCAGCCCCGTTCCGACCCCCTTCTAAATTTCTAACTGTGGGAATCGGATTAATCGGCACTTAAAGTCTGGGACGTTCAGAATATATTGATATACGGTACTATCGAGATCTGGACTTGGAGATTGGTAAGAAAAATGAACTTGTGTTTTATTTCCTTTCAGTGGGTATAGCGGCACTGCTACCCGTTAGCAGATATGATCGCTTACAATTAGGTAGCCTTAACGGGGGGGGGGACTACATAGGTGTGCACCCCAGTTCTTCATTAAGAAAAAGCCCTCTGTATCCGTTGGATCCGTATGCAGACTCTGGAGTAACGGTTATTGGCCCACAGCTGTTGTTTCTTCGCCCCCACTATGAACTAATTTAACAGCTGGCCTTTTCCTTATGCAAGTTCTCTATAGATAAAACACATCTAAGATTCTTACCCCAAAGTTTCGATGTATCTCGGTGGCCCATGGATATAATCAATATATGCGGTCATAACTAGGTATTCAAAGAGTCAATCACCCATTTTCTATCGCCTCCTTTAATGATATCAGACCCAGCTTTCGGGGTCGGAGCATCAATCCTGAAACAACCGACACGGCACGAGCTTCCCCCGTGGGCCGGTCCACCCTGAGTCAGCTTTCTTATTTTTTCTTCATATACCCGTGGACGGTCTACTGTACTTCCGTACAACAGGTATCTTATGGGTAGCATCTGCCAAATTCCCATATGGGGCAAAATATCATTGGACCCGATTTTATGCGTGTATTATTTTTTTATGTAAAGGATACATCCCGGCTCCTTGTTCTTGGCAGAAAATTCGGCGATTATCTAGGAGACTCCTGAATAGGGCCGATCATTGTAAAAATTCGCACGTTGCCCGGGACCTCCATTCCCCCTTTCTACTAGCCCTACCAAATCCCCATCTCTCACGAGCTGCAGATCTCAAGGCAAGGGGTCTGAAAGCTACACTCTGCATACAGTTCAACGTTCAAATAGTGTGGTACAATATATTCCATACAACATACTATGTGTATGTGGCCGTCAGCACGGTTGCCCACGAACTGTTAGAGTGGACCCGATGTGTAGCGTATCATCGCTTTGACTAAACTTAATTGGAGTATTATTATTCCTTATTGTTGTGCTTCGTTTTGACATAGCGAAAGGAAAAAAAAATTCAGGAAGAATCGGCTTCCGTGGCAGATTTAATGTAGATCAAACGAGATTTGTACTTCGGGTGTTAGTATGGAATATGGAGTACGGAGAAGTAATAATTCAATAGTAGTAGACTGGATGAGCCGCGGATCGACGCCACTAGGAATGTGGCTGTCAGATCTACAATATACAATATAACATATAACATATAGCATACATACTCCGTAGCCAAGTATGCTTTAGGTAGTACAAGGCATGTGCTCCTAATGTATAGTATACAAATGTCAGTTCAATCTCAAAACCTCGATATTAGTTCCGTCTCAAAGAAAGTAATTAGATTGTTAGAGTTTCAACTTAGGTTGAAGTGGAACAAAGGAAATTCGATGAGTCAGCACTCATGTGACATCGCGCCGAAGCGGCGCGTTGGACGCGATATGCCTCGTTTTAACAGAAAAATCCTCAACATACCCCAGTCATGCGGACCATAAAGGAATTATTGTTTAATAAGCCTGTATTCACTCGTGCTGACTCGAACAGCCCACCCAAGAAGAAAGAAAGCACCGAACTCGCAACCGAATCTTCACCCCTCACCGAACCCTCCTCCTTTGTATTCGATCAGATATCACCAGAATCTGAACAAGATGCCGAAGCCCACTTAAGTGCAGCATTGTATCTATCAACCCAGGATACCCTACTTCAACCCCCTACGTGGCAACAAAGTTTCCAAAGCATCGACTCGGCCACCAGGGTCTCATCTCTGAACGAGAGCTTCAACGGATCTCAGCGCATCATCAAGGATGGCAAAGAGGTTGTCATCAGCTCTGATGGAGAAGACACAGACTCGATATGCTCGTTGGAGGACCCAAAGAACCTTTTCGCTCCAAAGTCTAAAAAGAAGGATGAATTCACACCTCCCAAATTCCCCACGAGGATATCATCGCCAAAGAAATACAGACACACTATTGACTCTCTCGTTCACGATGCAGTGGATGATAATGAGGTTGAAGCCAGTGTCTCCCGGGCGAGAGCCAATTATGCGCCGAAGGAACTAAACGGCGAGGAGCCCGGAAACGACCCGTCCGGCACTGGATATGCTCTGAATGAGACCATGTTGATCTCAGCGCTTGGCAAGAATGAGGACGGTGTTGGCGGTCAACGTTTGATAGGTGCTATTAGAAGAACCGATGCTCTTGACCACGGCCGCACCTGGCCATTCTTTGATTGCACACAAACATTGCCGCAGGCCCCCCAATTTCCACGGGATCTGTTCGCACCTGGGACAAGTATGGATATATTAAGGGGTGAGCTTCAAAAGAGTCGTCATTTTTTTTCTCCACATGTTGACTGATTTGCAGAATCCGAGTCTCGCGAGCGCCAGTTCATGTCAGGCGAATTTATTCAGATGGCTTTGTCCAAAGGACTTTTGCCGGACGCATTCGTTTTGTGGATGTTCCGTTCCAGTTCGTCTTATAGTATCCTTTGTTCATTGACTTGAAGCTAACATGCCTTCAAGTACCATATGAACGTCGAGAGGAACTGAGTTACGCTTACTATCGAATTATTAAGGTTTGTAATTGCTCTTATATCGAACTCACACCGACATTGACTAACTGAATATATAAGAATATGGATGTGGAGCGATTAAAGTTGATCATCCGTCCCGCCGATATCGATGACCTTTTCTCGCGATTAGGTGCTAGGAGCCAGGCTTTGGATCCTTCCAAGAAGATTGTCCCAGTTCTTTCCCAATGTATGGCCTAACCATCTTGGTCGTGGTCTCGTTTTTGCTAATGAACACCGTCAGATATTACTCCGGATTCTGCGTTGAAAGATCATATTACCTTTGTTTCGGTGCTGAGATTACTTAGAGAAACTGCTGGCTTGTGAGTTTCCTCCCCCCCTCAACCCCAAACCCTGACAATGCACGACTGACAAATTTGTAGATTCGCAGAAGACACCCAAGAGCGGGTAGTACTACTATTGTTACGTCTTACACTTGATGTTTCATTGACAGCGAATTCCATGGTATCTTCAGAGCTTCAGTGGACCATCAACGCTGTGTTGGATCCTGAGAATTTCTATGAAACCAGCGCCAAAGATTCGGTGAATATTCTCCTATATCTTGTACGACTCTCAAAGCTAACAAGATATCAGTTACGTCGAGTCTGCGCCACTTTCCACGCCACGGTACACGATGCTTGCATCCAGAGTCAAATTGTGCATCATATCTTACCCACCTCTCCATGGTTTGCACTGATACGATGTCGCCTGGCTGTTGCATTTCTGTTACAAAGCCCGGATCCTCTCACCGAGCCCCCTGAAAAGCTGCTCGATATCAAACGTATCACATTGCTACTGCTCAGCGATAAGCGTTTCCAAGTCAAGCGCTTCAAGGGTATAGCTGACCACGACTGGAGGGAATTAACTTCACTCACTGCTCTTCTCAATGTCGCGATTGACTCGTCTGCGTTGGAGTTGAATTTCAGCAGCACACAAACCGAGAAAGACTACGACGCTGCCATCGACAGGCTGGCAGCTCAGATCAAGATGATCTTCTGTTCTATTCAGGATTCCGGTGCCTCACATGTGACACGGACGGTGGCAAAAAGTGAACTCGAGGCCTTGCACTACCGAATTGTTTATTCTGTTCGGTCCAAGCCACCGCCGAAAACCACCATTTTCGAGTCACATGTAAAGGAGAGAAATGGTAACATTCGGAGTCATTTTAGCAACTTTGCTGCGCTTGCTGCTGGAAAGCAAAATCCAGAGACCAGACAAGATACGTATCCGTCTACGGCGCCAGGCGATGCGGCTAATGGTGACACAGAGATTCCCATCCGTGGGCATGACCAGGTATCCTGATCATATTGGCAGTTTAAGTCCCAGGATCTCCATTCACTCCGAAGAAACAGAAATACTGCGATCGGCTGAGATGTTGAAATACCAGATTTCCCTTCTACCATGGACGCTATGACGATTTAGAACAAGTGGATGAAGAGGGAAAGGCTATCAAGGATATTGTGGCCGAAGCAAAGGCTCGGAGAGTTTCCTCTCGTCCATGCGCATCCTGGCATACCACAAGGATGGCGTAGAGGAAGATCAGAACTGGATCCTGAACAAACCCCCTTATGACTTACGACCTTTATGATCATGCCATCAAGAGCGACATTCTTCGCCCAAGCATTTTATCACGGAATACCATTGTAGTGAAGAATATGGAATGAAAACCATCGCTAAAAGAGTTCGATCATATTCCATATCAGACTTGAACTGTGCAAAGAAATCCCCTCTGTCTATGAAGATGGCCAAGAGAGGCAAAGATTATCCGAACTATAACACACGAAATACAGCAGTCGCAAACGTGAAACACAAGATTGAACAAGTAATACACCCTTAGTCGTAGAATTTCCGGTTAGGGTTCTTGCCGAAGAGTGTCTCTCGGACTGCAGGGAGAGCATCAATTTCCAGCAGTCGCAGACGCTCCTCGAAAGTATTGTTGATCTCAATCTTGCCTTGTCCACCGACAATAAACACACCTCCAGCACTGCAACGTAATTAGTCTCTTTGGCGTATAATGGGAGGGGGGGCGAATAAACTCACGATCCCTCTGGCAACGGCTCCGACTCGTCCAAAGTCACGGTCACCTCCGAGCCAACTTTGTCCTTGTACTCCTTGGCAGCCTCCTCAATAGCCTTCTTGGTAACATCGAAGTCCTTCTTCCGCGAGCGAATCGCAACGTTATCCTCGTTCAGATAATACAGGCCCTCGAGGACCAGCCCCTTGAGCATGGCCTGGTACTTCTTCTGATCGCCGGCAGCCACCTTGGCAACCTTCTCACGAGCATTCTGGAACAGCTCATCGAGGAGCTCCTGGCGGCCACCAAGCACGCGGAGTCGGGTCTTGTTGGCGAGTGTGGAGCGGGTAATCTGCTGGGACATGGCGGCCTGCTTGAACTTCTTCTCGTAGAGGGTATCGATGGCGGCAGTTTCCTGGCGCACCAGCTTGGACTTTTCGATCGCAAATTCTTCGTCGGCCTTCAGCTGGATCTCTCGAGCCTTCTCGAGGGCTTCTTGCTTGATGAAGGCGGTCATCTTGCGGAGCTCGCCCGCGACCTGGATTCAATGGCGATCAGTCCAACTCAAGCTTCACGAGACGTAGAGTAAACGGGCAAACATACCTGATCATCTGAAAGAGCATGGCTTTGTGACATTCTGGCGGTTCACTGCTGTATAGCTTGTTGGGGGTGGAATGACGTGGGGAAGAGGGAAAGGATGTTGTGTCCAACTAAGCTCGGATTGCGTTGCCTTGGCGTTCCGCATCCAGGTCCTCCGCACCCCCCTCGACAACTTACCCTTCCAGCGTGATCCTGTCATTCCCTATAGTTTTATCTCAGTTATGGCTTCTTTACTCCGGTAGTTTCTTCTACTTGGTGGTGCGCCTCTCCCAACTGTCCCTCGACCCGGCCAATGCACAACACACAACATGGGCAATCTAGGGGACTTGTCGCCGGAGGGAAGTGTTGCGGTAAGATCAACGGAAACCAGGATATACAGCGAGACGAGATCAAAATCTAACGATATCAGGTTGGTGTAATCGTTGGGCTCATTTCAACCAGTCTCCAGGCCATCGGGCTCACACTCCAGCGCAAGTCGCATTTACTTGAGGACGAAAAGCATCCCTACGATGTGCGCAGACCCCCCTACAGGCGCCGACGATGGCAAATAGGAATGGGGATGTTTGTGATTTCCAATATTGTTGGAAGTACCATCCAAATTACCACACTTCCGCTACCAGTTCTCTCGACGCTCCAAGCGGTCAGTAGTTTCCCCCTCCATGCACGGCGGAGATCATTTGCTGATAGGAATGCCGATTAGTCCGGACTAGTGTTCAATACCGTATTTGCAACCCTCATCCTCGGTGAACCCTTTACTCGATATTCTCTCGCAGGCACCGTTCTCGTCTGCATCGGTGCATTGCTGATTGGGACCTTCGGCGCCATCGGGGAACCCGCACATACCTTAGATCAGCTTTTGTTCCTCCTCCAGCGACAGCCTTTCCTTCTGTGGATGGGTGCCACTACCCTGCTGGTTGTTGTGGTACTCGTAGGCATTAAACTACTGGAACATTTCGTGCCATACTCGCGCGCGAAACCCTCGGCCTCCGGTCATTTTTCACCGCATCTGCTGCGACTACAAAGCCGAATGAGGTTGATCCGCGGCATGAGTTATGGATTCGTTAGTGGTATACTGTCAGCTCACTCCCTTTTGCTGGCAAAGTCGGCAGTGGAGCTTCTGGTGCGCACAGTGGTAGACGGTGTGAACCAGTTCAATCGTTGGCAATCATGGGTCATCCTGCTGGGAATGATCTTCCTAGCGCTCACACAGCTGTTCTATCTTCATCGGGGGCTAAAGCTATGCAGTACTAGTGTACTATACCCTTTTGTGTTCTGCATCTACAACATAATTGCCATCCTGGATGGACTGATCTACTTCCGGCAAGTGTCTCGACTGGCAGGCTTGCATGCCAGTCTCATCGCTCTGGGAACCATAATCCTCCTGGGTGGTGTCTTGTGTCTCTCATGGCGACTTGAGGATATCGACAATCATGCCGCCGTCACTACTGTGGGTCCGACGCAGACCGGACTTGGGCCAGGTATGGCACTCGTGGAAGAGCACTCTCCGTCATCACCTGGGTTACTGGACAGCCAGGATGAGGAATCACAGATTGGAGAACGCGAGCCACTTCTCAACCCGAAGACCCAAACTCGACATCTCTCATACCAGCGTGGAAGAGCTCCAAGCTTACCGCTCAATTTAAATTTTGATCGCGACTCAGTCGATCTAAATCCCGCATCTATTTGGGCTGAGATCGATGATTCGGACTATGAATCCACCGATGGAAACACAAGATCCTCGATAGATCACCGACGCAGCATCAGTGGCAGCGCAACGCTAAACGGCCCATTACGAGGTCTAACACGAAACTCCACGGTCGGCGCTACCCCACAAGATCGCGAAAGGGGATCTCGCCGAGCCCAGGGATCACTGCGTGGGAACCAATGGCGTCGCACCTCAGCACCCAAGAGTGGTTTATCGGCCGCCCATCGTAAACGTCGGGGAACCGGGGGTCTGCTTACATCTGACCAACAAGTCGGTGGGTACGGGACCATCCAAGAGGACCACGATGATACCCACTGGCACGACGACCCCCCTATCCATCGTTCATCTGATGCCAGGTCTGGTCTTCTTGTTGGGCCAAGGAGGGCTGTGGCAGGTGTCTGGAAGTTCGGGAGACGATATCTGTCTCGGTGGAGCAGCCCGCAGGCGGGCAGTCAAGCTGAGATTGACCCAGAGGATGACTCTTCCTCGTCCCTACTCCCACACTCTGCCGTCCCTCTTCCACGAACACGTTATGTGCAGGGAACCCCAGTTCAGGAATCTGACACCCTTCAGCCACCACCACCCCCTTGACACTTTCCATTATACTCTTTCCCCAATGACCTCCATATAACGTCCACATTCCCTCCGACCTGTCAATTCTCTTCGCTTGGGCACTACAACCCCAGTTTTCTCTTTGCTTCTCGATTTTCAATGCCCATGTACAGTAGTCCTCTTCGTCGGACATACCGCGCGCCACCCACTCAGATTGCTCTATCGCTCCTAGCTCCGGTCGAGAAAAGACCTGTCTCGATCTCTCTTTTGTCTCCTGCCATCCACGTCAAGATACTATATGTGATATGATACCACCCCGTTCGATTGTATAGCTCCGCGCAAATGAATATAAAACCCGATACGATGTGTCCAGACCTCTATATGATCACAAGTACCCATGGGAAAACCGGTCATCCGAGTATCTAGTTATACTCCATTATAGTGACAATGCAAAGATCGTAAGTAAACTAGTTCCGAACTCCGTTAAGGTCTGTTGGCTGTGTGGCATGGACCTCTTGATATGCAGGTCAGCGAACTTTCTTACTCTCTCCCCATGCACGCCAAGTATACATCTCTTCAATTCAGAAGTAAATTGGGCAGGTTTGAAATTGATACTAGTAATCATGCAGAACATTAAAATAAATTGAATTCCGTGAATATGGTTGAGAATATATATCTGAAAAGTCGTATATAGTAACCCTCGCATCAATGGATATGTCCGAGCTGGACTTGTAATATACAAGTTATACTCGAGTGTCTAGATAACTGTATTTTATGACCAAATCTCCCAATAAATATCTAGAAAGCATACATTCTTTTTGTGACTGAATTTGCCGTCCCTTATGCTGTCTATAGTGGGACCTCACGCACTATAGGGTGGAGACAGGATAATCCAAGTATACCCATAGACGATCATGACTACAAACAAGAAGTCCAAAGGAACAGAATCCGATTGCTCCATACCATACATAATGTAAACCAGCTCGAGCCAAAGCGGTGCAAAAACTGAACCGAATGGCATTGAGAATCCGTAACCACAGACCACGGCAGGGGATCAAAAGACAATTAACACACTCGAGATTAGACAATGAGGAAAATAACATAGTGGCCAAGGAAATAAGTTAAAGACTAAAGGCAAAAAAAAAAAAAAGACCAAAGAGAAAAGCCACTTCGCCGACGAGTTTCAATGCACCACGAACACCTCCATCCTCCGCCATTGTCTAGGTAGAGGGGGGAAAACAAAAGCCAAATTAGCGATGTAGCCCAGATTTGCCTGCTTGCGCTCTCTTTCTCTTTTCTTGGTTTCTTTTTTTTGGCTGACATTTTTTTGGGTTTGTTTTAGTTATTGGAAAGCCATAGTTCTCAGCAAATTGGGGGATCTCCTTGTTTTTTTTTTTTCCGAGAAAGCAATATCAAAAGGAAAAACCAGATCCAGTATCATCAAAGAGAGACTGGAAGGGGATTCCAGCGCGGTGCTTGACAATTTACAAATAGTCTCACGACAGTGCCCTGCAGAATGGCGCAGATACACTGCGACCATTTCCGAGGGAAGAGTGGGATGGATCGGCACAGAGGGAGACGGGTATCAAATGAACGCGAGATCGAGGCGCAGGGAGGAAAAGAAAAAGAAGAGCATCGGGGACCTTGAGCAAGGAGGACCCCACGGATCATAATAAGCATTTAAGCAGTGGGTTGGTGCTGGGGTGGCATGCGACCGCCGACCGGCATGGGGTACTGACCACCAGCCTGCTGTTGCTGCTGCTGGAGGTTCTGGTAGTAGGCCATCTGCTGCTGCTGCTCGTTGGTCATGTAGCCAGGGTGGATACCCGGGCGCATATTCCCCTGGGGCGCGTTGACGTTGTTGTGAGCCACATCTTCGGGGGCCTCGGGGGCGACATCGGGGGCGTCGACACCATTCTCACTGGCAGCTGGGTCGGGGGCGTTCAGGCATGCCTGTCCAGTATGTTAGTGACTGGATGCAAGGGTATTATTGGAGTAGACCACGACTTACCTGAATAAGGTTCTTGCCCTCGGCCTTAGTGACCAGCGGCTGAAGTTTGGGAGTAGTGAAGGTGTAGACGAGGCCGGTTTCGGAGACGACCAGGAGAAGAACTTGAGTGCCAGTCAAGACAGAGAGTTCGTAAGCCTGTATAGTCCGATCATGATTAGTAAAAGTTCCAATCGATTAAATGTTAGGAGGGACACCCTCGGGAAATGCGGAGGGCCTCGGGGGACGCGACGCACCTTCTTCATGATACCGGCCTTGCGCTTGGAGAAAGTAATGTGTCGACGCGACTTATCCTGAATAAACTTGATCTCAATCTTGCGACGCTCACGACCGGGCTTGTCATCGTCATCATCTTCATCGTCGGCGCTCATGCGGTTGCGTTTGGTGCCACGGGCATCGCCGTTGCCGGGAAGATCATCGTGACCAGGGGAAAGCTTGTCGTCGAGAACCGCAGACATATTGGCAATAAAGAAGAGCAAAAGAAGTTTAATATTGGGGGGGGGGGTATGGTTTTGGGGGGGATACCGAAAGGGGAAGTCAAGAGATGACCCAATCGAGTAACGCGTTTTATGGGATGTGAGAGAAAGGGAATGGGGGAATCGATGGGGGGGGGGGGAGAGCGAAGAAGGCAAAGTGCGAGTTGCGATGGGCAGGCGGTCTGTTACGTGAATCACGTGTGTGGCTGGTATTAATACAGTTTGTAAGATGGAATAAGCTAGGGTACTTCTATTAGTGGTAATATTAATATTGACAAGATGTACTGCTACTCCTCCTCTTTGTATTGCCCTGTAATATGGTTATGTTCGCCTCCTTTGGACTGGAGACGATTCTTGGCTCAGACCGCTCATTGGCCGATTCCCACTTCGGTCCCCCATTTTTCCCTTTTTTGCCCTTTTCCCCTCTGGCTTGGACTTTATTTCCTTTGTTGCTTTCATGGCTGATTTCTTGGATATTTTGGGGTTTATTTTCATACTTCTCTTTTAACTTGAAGTTAAAAAATAAGGATAAAAATCCATACTTTTTTTTTCCAAGTCCAAGGGTTCTATACTTAGCCATTCCAATTCACATGCCTCGACGGGGCAGAACATCCAACGTCCGCTACTACATGATTGGCCATTCCACTTTTAAACAATGCCTATCCCATTTTCTATATTTTCTATCATACTATATTTATAGTATACCTTATATTATAGAAATATCCTATTTCGAGGCTACATTTATAAAGAGAGAAAAAAAAATAAGAATAAAATGGTGCCATCACACAGGCGCGGGTCGCACCTGCTTTGTGGCACGGAATAATGGCCCTGTATACAACATACTCGCATGGCCGCATTCAGAGTACATAAATAACCCCCAAAAAGACATCCCCCCTGTCACCACTTTCTTATCTCTTATAGCCATTCCAATTCCTTTCTGATTGCAACAAGAATCAGCCTCACGTTCATATTCATCATTGTACGGAGTACGGAGCCGTATTCCGTACAAGGCCACAGTCTCGACACTCCATATGCTGCAATCTCTAAATACATATCTTATGTCCCCTTGCACGTACATGCCTTGCATGGAGCTCGGAGAGCCCCTAGAGATGTTTTGGCGTTTCACAGACATATCAGGAATCGAGGTAACTTGGTCAGTTGGCTGGCCTACGACAAAAAGCCAGGCCCCGGGGGGAATCTATTATTAGTCATGTCTGTTGCCCTTTTCTGTTTCTTTTATTACTCCTATTATTACTCCCATATCTACAGAATGCAAATATGCCATTTCTTTTCAGCTAACCGGGGTTGATATTGCTCTAAGCATGCAGTCGTAACATCCATTCTCCTTACACAACATCCCAAGCCTAGGCGGCTACCATGCGGCCGTACCAAACGGCGACGTCCCTTGATCATATCGGGAGCCCCGAGCGCAAAGATCGACCGCTGATGACAGTTTGTGAAAGGGAAATGATACATCTCGAATCCACATAGCAATAAGCAACCCAAGCCGATCAACGGGCCGAACCGAGAAGCCCTAGACCCGATACAGCAGAGTCTAGCTCGCTCCAGCATCCCTTTCCTGCATACTAAAGAAGACACTGCACAATACTGAAACTGACAAAAACTGATCATATTCTTCACATAATGAACAAAAGGTTCAACGCTAATCACCAGCGGAGACCCCCAAAGCAGGTCTGCTGTCAAGTCTATTTTTACAGAAAGGATGCAAGGCAGATGGGGAAAATAGGAAATAAGAAAAAAAGACAGATAAGAGCAAGTCCAAACCGATTAGGCGTGGCAAGTCTCGGCCAAGGTCCAGGGGAAAAAAGACAGTTAAAAAAAAGCCACTGGACGTCTCAAGAAATGGAATACACCGTCAGGATATAGAGCACGCAAAGCCACCAGGTTCCTGCACCATACTGGACTCCGCCAATGCAACGCCGGATAAATGAAACAGAAACTGGAGGACGCGGAGGGCAAGTCACGATCAAGAGTCTCATCCGGAAAAGAAAAGGGCTGTTGGGTTGGTTGATTTGGCAATCATATTGGGCTGGTGTCGTAAAGTCGGGAAGAAATAAAAAGCAAGAAGATGTGTAATATTTTAGAAGATAAAAGAGCCGAATCATGTGCAACGAAGTGAAGAGATACGAGCAACAGTCCCAAGGACCAGCCTCAAGTAGTAGCGGTGCAATTTTATTGCTGGTAAGTGCCGCGAAGGAAATGGTCAGTCACACCACCACCGCCGCCGCCCTTGGGACCGAGCCAAACGATCTCAATCACGCTGTGGCCCTCATCTTCTTCGCGGACATAGAATTGGTGCACGTTCTCACCAACCACGAATGCATCACGGAGCAACCAACGATCCTTAGTGACGCCATCTTCCTCGGCGGGACGAAGGGGACCCAGGCGGTCCTCATAACCGCGGGGGTCTTCGGGCCAGGTCTTTTCGGTAGCATCAAAGTTGATAGCATCATCCGGCACATGCGCGGCGTATGTGTACTTCACCAGTGAGTAGCCGTTCGTCATGACCCAGAAATGACGGAGGTTCTCGCCAGTAGGGCTCACAGACTCCTCCTGATCGAAGACCCAGCGACGGAGAACAGACTTGCGGCCTGCGGCGGCAGAAACGGTCGTCATCTTCACCACGTCCTTGGTGTACCAACTGTTCCAGTGGTGCATGGATTCAATCTTGCGGCCAGACTCGTAAACACCGTCCACGGGGTCTGCCATGTCCATCTGGTAAAGCGAAGGCCACAGGGTAAGGGGGGTGTCACCGAAGCGTTGGATACACTGGCCAAGCTTCTGGTCACCGGGCTGCTCGCCCCAGGACTGGCACTCCTCGTAGTGCTTCATCAGAACTTCCAAAAGAGGTGTCGAGACAAACACACCGGCACCACCGAAAGCAATGTGGCCAAAAGTGTCCACCTGCCAGCTGGCTTCAGACAAAGATCCAATATAGTGCTTCTTGCTCTCATCAAAGAGTTTTAGTTCCTCGGCGATAGTGGGGAGCGAAAGGAAGAAGGTATCGTCGTCGCTGAATCCAACCCAGGTGGTGTGGGGGCGGTGCTTGCGAATGTGCTCGGTGAACGCCTCAACCATACCGAAGTAGCGGGCAGTGAAGTCGAGCGGAGAGGCCTTGAGAGTCAAATCTAGACCGCGGTTGCGGAAGTAGGTCTCTTGCTTCTCCAGGTCGTCGTCAGACTCAGGGACCAAAACAATTAGACCGGCCTTGGTGTTTCCGTAGGAGTAAAGTAGAGAGGGAAGAAGGCGGTCCAGACGGTCGACAGTAGTGGCCAGACCGAACAGAAGCTTGGAGGTCTCCTCGACATCGTCATCAGCGGCCACATCGACCTCGATGATCTCGGGGCAGACAAAGTTTTCCGGTTTGTTCTCGGGAGACACAACCATACCACGCTCCATAACAACCATGGGCGGGAGCACAGGCTTCTCGATTTCCTCCAAAGTGTGGAATTCGGTGCGAGGGTTCACATGACGAGGACGGAAATAGGCGCGAGTGTAGTTCTTACGTGGGAGCCATTCAGGGAAGGGTAGGGGGGCGGCCAATTTCGGGTCAACCTCACAGGTGCTGGCCGGTTGCTGCGAATCAGATTGTGCCGGCGTTTGTACTTGAGTTTGTTTGCCTCCACTGAAGGAGGCCCGATCAACTGGGTGCTTGAACCGAAGGAAAGCTGAACGGTCGTATCGTTCCATGCAAAAGAAGAAGATTCCAATGGTCACCAAAGCGACCAACGGGAATACCGTCTTCATTCGAAACAGAGGCATTTTGGATTTTTATTGAATGTCGATTTTCCAACCATGTAAATGGCACAGGGCGAGGCGAAACCAGGGCAGATGAACCCTGGGATTAAAAGTTATGGGTTTGGCGTGCGAGGTGTCGTATCCCGGAAATATCGTGCAGCAAATCTGGTAGCAGGACGTAATTCCCTGAGGGAAGAGTCAAATAAACGAGTGTTCCAAGAGTGGATTAAAGAGTGGCAGGCAAATAAAGTGCCGAGATATTTCAACGAGAGGCTGGTAGCGTCGGGACCTGCGACACGGTCCAGATGGGGGGAGCGTTTGTAAAAGGGGAAGTAGGATTGGAGAAAAGAAAAACAAGACTAACGCGGCTGGACGATGTGCCCAGTCCGAGTGAAAAGTCGATGAGAGCTTGGATAATTGTGTCGTGAAGGTGTTGTAGGAGGAAAGAAAAAGGGAGGTCGCCGAAGCAATTAACGGGACAGGGTTGGCCGTGTATGGGGATTACCGTAATTTATTATTTAGGCCTTTTCTTTTTTTCGCTTCCTTTTCTATCTTTTTTTTGCTACATCGAGGTACATATGTATATGACTTTGGTGCGGCTGTTTTTTTTCATATCACATGTTGCTTTCGGTGATATCAGACATCAGAATATATTGCACCTTGATATTGATATCTTGGTATTCATCCCCCCCCCCGGTTGCGGTTGATGCCAAGTTGGGATGCAGGCACAGAAGGCTTGCGACAGGATCTCAAATGAGATGTGGCTTATACTTTGTTTCTTTCTGGTCGTACCTGTTGAATCTAAGTGTCGATCATGACGGAAAAAGGAATGCTGTTGGCTGGGATCATCCCCTCCCGGCTTCATGGAATACGCCGCCATTGAAACCGATGATCGGCACTGATATTTTTTTCCTTTTCCCCTGTCTTGAGCACAACAATGTTGTGTTTAACCCGGGAACAGGTGTGGTTGTTCGAGTCGGAAATGATCATCTAGCCCTTGGAACCCCCAAATAAACATGTTTCAAGTATCTTCAGGGTCGAAAAGGCCGTTTGCGGCGACTCATGTTCGGATGCAGACTCGCGTGAAACTGTCGATCAATTGTTTGGAGCATCTGGATACATAAATTGTATGATAGGCCAGAAACTCATATCTACAAATAACTCCGATTGCCCTCTCCCTAGCGTCTCTATATGTTGTATATGTACGGAATAGTGATCAGTTTCTACATATAGATACTGCTATGTACAGATACGCCCTGTGTCCGAATTCGTCGGCACACTACCGTTTGTCAAAGCCTTGAACACCAGCAATCTCGGACAATATAAGCGACAAACATATCCCGAGATCCCATCATGATGATGTGAACATAATAACTATGAGAAATCACGTCACAGTTATCAAGGCGCTTGGACCCTCAGAATAAAGCGCCGGACTAGCGTTAAGCGTATCAAAAGTTCAATGTTATACTGACTACGGAGTATACCCTGTATCAAAAAGGACAAGTATACAAGTACCAAAAGAGCCAAAGAGCCAGGGAAATGATCAGAGACGATCGCCCCAGTGTCAACCAGTCAAAGTTACCCGGAGGGGCAAATGAGGCCAACGCCCCCACAGACACGCGTCCTTCTAACAACGTTTATACCATGATGCTGGGCATAGTTATGTATTTTAATATTAATATATGAGTTTCTAGATTTTTAGCCCTTTATCCCTTTAGCTAATCTGTTTTGAAACCGTACTCCATATTATATATTTATACCCGGTGTAGGAGAAGTTCCAGAAGGAAAAAAAAAGGAGACCCTGAAAGCTTATCGGGTAACGTAATTTCAGTGGCGATAGCATTTCCGCGTCCATGGGCTTCCTCACATAGTGGGCCAGGATCGACAACAATTTAAATGGCGTTTAGTATTTTGTTTCACTATTCTATATGAATTTGTGGTTTTCCGGGGACTGTATGCTGTTTCAGTTAAGCACGGAATATGGACATGTACAACCAACATACTTTGTACGGAGTACATGCAAAATATATGAAAGATGGACCTAAACTGTGGAGAATCAGGAGAAATCATCCACTTCTGTCCAGACCTAGCCATGACACAATAATACGTACTAGAGAGCACGTGTTTTCCTAAGGTTACCCATACTACAGCATCCTGTCATACCTATGTGGTCAGTGTATCAGATTTAAAAAAAAAAAAGCCGTGTCAGCACTTACGAATCCTCGAAGACATAAATACAATCCCTGTTGCATTCATGTAATATGTCCGTTCAATGACATTTTAAGCTAGAATGGTAGGCTTGGCGTTGTCACTGCAAAAGGAGGAGATTATTCCACTCTCAAACCCTCTTTGGGTCGATGATAGTGACTCTGTACTGTAAAATGAAGATTAGTGCATCTCTTTTTGCGGACTTTCCGTATTAAGTTTGATCACCCTAATCTTTCCCTTCACCTTGTTATACAAGTAGAAGGGCCTCTGTTCAACTTTCCTCGCCTCTGCTGACATCCCCTAGACACCTGAGATCCCTGGGTTGCGTATGAACCACAACAGAAAACTCCTGTTGAAACTTAGTAAAGTTGACAAGTATGTACATCGGAATTTTGCCACCAGAATGGCATGGATAGATCTTCGGTAATTGTAATAACGGAATGTTGACGTGCAATAATTGCTTTGAAGGCTAGAAAAGACCACATTTGAGACTAGAAGGTATATACTGTACTCTAAGACTACTCTGGGTCATCTTCCGATTCGCTATTTGATTCTCCGGATTTGTTTTGTTGTGAGTCTTCATATTCGTCTTCATCTGATTCTTCAGTCAACTCATCAGATGAGGCAATCATCGTTTCTTCTTCGTCCCAGCCCCGAGCTAGATCCATCGCAGTTTGACCGTCGTTGTTCACCATGCTGCAATCTGCACCGGCTTTACACAGCGCTTTGAGCATCCTCTCGCTGTCCTCTCCACGCCCACTTATCACTGCCAAGTATACTGCTGTATTGCCATCATTATTCTTTGCCATAAAATCCATCCTACCAGCATACGAGGCGCCCAGTAAAAGCCGGCTCGTGCAGACTGGTGTAGTGGGGTTTCGCCTTCGATATCTCTCGAATTGGGATCAGAGCCGGCTTCAAGCAGGATCTCAAACGCATCTTCGGCATAGCAAGAAAAAGGAGCACATGCCATGTGAAGTGGAATTTGACCAAACAAATCTTTTGACATGGGGTCGGTTCCCCTCTCTAGAAGGAGTGTGATCGTGTCCTCACAGGTTTGAAATGCTGCTTGGTGCGGCACAGTGCGACCAAGAGAGTCCCTAGAATCCACCTTCGAACCTCCATTTAAGAGCCATTCCACCACAGCTTCGGACTCGTGAGGCTCATCTCCGTCCAAGTCCCCAGAATACCGATAGTATGGCCATCTTTGTTGATAACGAAGGGTGTTGTCGTCCACCCAGTCAAAGATATGTGGCGACAGAAGTACCCTTATAATTACCTGTTGTGAAGCATGGCCATGTCCCAGGGCTCGAAAGTCTGGATTACCATCACTCCATTCGGAAAGTGATGCAGAAGGTGCCATGACCGATCGATATCTGTAATTGGATAACTTCTGTACAGTCTGTCGATTGTATTCGGTCCTTGCTGGGTCATTGCGCTGGCCTTGTATTAAGTATACAGGGGATCACTAATGTGGGTATCACGTCATGCGCAATATTGACAATCAACGTATTTCACTGGTGAGCTGGAAGCTCCAGAATATCATAACTTAGTGAACTACGTTGCCATGACCTTGTTTAGTAATAATCGCCAACTAACCTGGCCTTTTTGAACAGATCTTGAAGACACTTTCAATCCTCGACAATGAGAATTGAGGTAAGTCCCAGGTATATCTTACCATTTGGGCTTTGGCTATATATCACGATTCCATAGCTCAAGCATACGCAGGAAACAGCCTCTGAACTCTCACCCAGTGGGAAGCATTTCCACCGATACCGATCTGGTTGTCAGTTTCCTTTGCGGCATAAGACAATCTGCGTAGTGGTATCATGTTTAGGCTTTTACTCTAGCTGAAGAGATAAAGAAAGGACAGACCAGGAATATTTGGAAAATGGCAAGATTATGAGTAATACCCATGGGACCTTGATGAGAAATGTTTCAACTTTAGGTCTTGCTTTGGAGGATGGATCGGTGTTCTTTATATTCGTAAATTCAACTATCAGTTACGTTTCTCTCATGTAGGAAGCAACGTTTTTGTTCCTAGTGACTATTCCGTCTCATCAATCATATTGTGGCGGCACGAAAGGTCTGGAAGCTCCCAGGAACACCTACAAGGCTTCATTTGCTTAGTATGAGGTATGTTATGGGTGCTAGTCAGAATATCTGGGGCAATTGAGGGGTCTCGAATGCTATGATGGGAGTCTGGACCGTCCAGTAGACATGGTCGATACGTTTAAAATGGGTTTGCAGATGTTCAGCTCGCTCGAGTTGAAGTCGTATTTCTAGGGGCAAGTGGCAAGCAGCAACAGTGTAATCCGTCTAAGATCAAGCGAAAAAAAAAGAACCAGAATCAATCACCAGATTAGATTACAAACCATTTGATTGAGAGTTTCTGAGATATTCCTAGATATTGTAAAACTAAAGATTGAGGACCAAGTCTATCTTGGCCCGAATTTGAGAGAGAAATCTCAAAAGGCCACAGCTCATCTGGGGTAGATTACTCAATATGCACAAGGTCTGAAACTGTACTATGTTGTAGACTGCATGTGAGTTTGCTTGAACTGCAGGGCCAATTGTTGTGATTCAGGATGAGTTTCTATTGGACTTGGCTTCCAGGAGAGGATGTCTACGAATAGTTGAAAGCAACTTTTGAACTGTAAGTGGTCATTTGATTTCGAGACCCCTTCACTTCAAGCCTCGGGTTCCTTGCAGATATCTGCCAAGGGCCATCATAGGAAAATAATGGCGGTAGTAATCATAGCCCAGATAAAAATGATTTGGAAACCCAGTTCCAGTATGTACCGCTTGGGGCCATGATGATCCGCCTTTCTCTGGTCTTTGTGAGGATACCAGGTACCAAATCCCGCGCTCAACGGCATCATCTGTGACTGGAAGATGAGAGAGCAACCCCATCAACGCCCATGCAGTTTGCGACGGCGTTGAAGCATGCTGCTCTTGGTCGGGCGACTGATATGATAAGAGAGACTCGCCCCAGCCGCCATCGTCATTTTGCCTTGACTTCAGCCACTGCAGAGCCGGAACCACGCGAACTAGACTTTCCTCGCCAAAATAAGCCAGACCACATAGCGCATGACTCGTGCCATAGATGTAATTACAACCCCATCTTCCGAACCAAGATCCATTGGACTCCTGCGTAGAAGCAAGGTAGCGCACGCCGCGCGCACATGCGGCACGTAGTGCAGGCAATAGATCCGCATCAGTCTTTGTAGAATGTTTCATCATCAGACCGAAAGCTTCAAGGATCCGCCCAGTGATATCAGCGCACGATATATCACACAGGCTATCCATGTCGCTGAATGGGATCTTATTGAGAAATTGTTTATCATTCTCCACGTCAAAGGCAGCCCACCCTCCGTCGGGGTTCTGCATGCCTAGAATCCATGTGGCTGCCGCAATTACCGAATTCGAACCAATAGACCCAGCGTCGTGCTTCACCTGAGCGAGGATAATCGCAGCCGTGTCATCCACGTCGGGATACCAGCTGTTTTCGTACTCGAAGCTGAAACCACCAGGAGCTAACTGTGGTCGGTATACCCGCCAATCTCCGCGGTTGTCAAGCAACTGGCGAGCTCGGATCCACTTGAGAGCTTGGTCGATGGTCTGTTTATTGGGTGACATAGCATCGCAGAGTCCAATCGTCATCAAAGCAGTATCCCAGACGGGTGAGACACATGCTTGGATTCGCTTTCCTTTTTCGTCTTCCCACGCAAATCTCTCCAAGGCTTGGAATCCAAGGCGAACGGGGTCATCCTCTAGCTTGTAGCCTTCCAGCATGAATGCGTACATGCTGGCATGCATGGGCGGGAAGATTCCGGCCCAATCACCGGTCTTTTCCTGGCGCTCTAATATCCATTTCATGCATTGTTTTCGGGCGTATGCTCGGACTAGAGGAACAGAACGAAGCCCATTTAGTTGATAGAGCAGTTTATCCAAAACTCCGAATGCTAGTCCCATGAGTTCTCTCTGAGATATCAGATCCCAGAGGGGTAGGCCGTAGGGTACATGTTTGTTCGTATCTAGCCATAACTCATCTAGGTAGTCATTCGTAGCGGAATTTCCATTCGGAAGAGAGTACACGGGTCGATGATGGCAGATGATTAACAGAGGAGCAATAGTACCGCGAGCCCAAGATGCGAATTTGTAGATATTGATTGGGCAAATGGAAGGTAGAAGCATAAGCTCCACGGGAAGCTCTGGTACTGCATCCCAGGGGAACAGACCAAAAGTAGCCAAGAAGATCCGAGTGAACACGCGTACGCGCGCGATTCCACCTGCTTCCAGTATAGACACTCGGGCCCTCTGCATGGCTGGGATATGCGGGCTTATTCCCAAGATCTTCAGTGCGAGATAGGCTTCGGTCGAGGTTGACACATCGCCTGGATACTCAGGTGCCAGACCCCAGGAGCCATCACTATTCTGTTGAGATAGAAGATAATGGCAATAAGCTGCGACATCAGCTTTGAGATCTAGTCCCAATGCTTGTCGGAGGAAGATATATTCGGCAGTCACGGTGACATTGCTATTCATCTCGCCGTACCAATGACCGTCGGGATGAACCAACCCGAGTGCATAGTCATTTGAAAGATTCAACGCATGCTCTACTCGAGAAGTAAGGGAAGAACCGTCAGGTTCTTTTCGTGGGATCATATTCGTCATGTGTTTGTGTCAATTGCTGAGAGTAAAATGGTGTGCAATCAAGGGATAATATTGAACTTTGCCCACATGATATGTAAAATTATACATTTTGCCAATCCTTGCGGATTATTTCAACCGGAATAAACGGAAAGATCGGGATCTTCATTTCCTAACAGCTGCATAAGTCCAAAGAAGAAAGTGAGCTCTAACGCGGCAGCAGTATACCTGCAGCGTGATCTGTCTCTGTAAGGGCCTTGGCAAGACAGTGTTGTACAGTAACACATTGTCCTCGCAGTCAAATTTGATCGGTTAAATTAAATTAAATTTCTTTTTGCGAAGAATTTGTAAGTGGCAGAAAGCTAGCCCTGGGGGTGATCTACATCTCCTGTCTGTCAATAACTGCTTATCTGACGGCTAACGAAATATCTCAACCATGACTACTCGGCTATCACCAGAAGCTACTTGAAAAGGGAGCTTCTTAGGAGCTATTTTGTTGGATTTTGTTGGATTTCAAATTGTTCCCCTAACACGGAGACTATACCAGATCCGAAAACTGCGGGCACTTGAACGACTGTATGGCTGCGACAAGCCCTGTGACGAAAGCAATTTGCGATACGACGTCTTTGGTATCGTGAAAGCAATAAAACTAGCTTCTCATTTTCGGCGGCGAACATCACTGCTGTATACAAACTCTCGGTTTCAAATATATGGCGAAACCTATGCTTCCAATGTTCTCGGCCACCGATTGATTTTCACCTGTGGCGCAGAAAACATCAAGCATATGTAATTCATAGCGTTTGCCGATTTTGATAGTTCTCCCTTGCGAAAACCCTTGTTTGATTCAATCACTCCACATGGCATTTCCACTCTCGATGGTGCAGACTGGAAGAGAAGTCGAAAGCAGATGCAGAATCGGCTGCCTAACCTCCGAAATGTCATTGATCTAGACATATGTGAGCAGCACTTATATAGCTTGCAAAGTGATGAGAGCTTTCCCCGCCGCCGTGTTCGATACAAGGGTAGCAAACAAGTATTCCACGATGCCAGGTGGAGGAGGAGGAGCCGACGGCCAGTCGCCAGTTCTAGTTCGAAAGGGTGCTATTGTGGTTTTTTCAACCTGGACTCGGCCTCACCTAGGGGGAAAGTCTTTGGAGAACACCCAGAGAAGTTTTATGCGGAGCGATGAGAACACCTGAATAGTGATATGCCTGGCTTTGTCCCGTTGAACAAGGGCTCTAGAATTTGTCCTGGTCGTAAGATTCCCTCCTTTGCTCCTATGTCAACGTATCAGCTGATGATCATACAGAACAGTACTTTATGATTATGCTCACGTACATCGTGGCTAGCGTTTTCCAGACTTTTTCGCCGGTACCCGACTATAATACCAAAGAATGGACAGAAAGGATTAGCTTGACATTCGAGAACGAAAATGGGGTACTGGTTGGGCTAAGCTGAACTTTGCAAACAATCTTCAAGAACTGATCGAAATGAACTCGGAAATGACATTGTTCTCAATTTAATAACAACTGCAAGAAAAAGAGTAGATAAAATCATGGTAAACCGATAGACTCAAACCATCTGCCCCAAGTCAGCCAGCCCCAAAGAAAGTCAATGATGCCAACCTCAACAAACCTTTGGACGAGGCTTCCTAGTCTCAAAGAATACATTCTCATATGTCCTCATCTCGTACGGCGCCTTCCTTAGAAGCGCCTCCTTCCGCTTTCTAGTCCAGCCCTTGACACTCCTCAAGTGTTGCAAACCATGAACGCCAGCCATCGGGGCCAAAACCTGGCTAACATCCATATTTGCAGGACTGATATAAAGCGGGTCATGAATAGGGTCCCCTTCCAGTTTGTATTCTTCCTCCAGCGCGAGGTGCTCCTTCTCGGGTGCTGTTTTGGACGGGTCGTATGGAGACTTGTGACGTCCGACTTCGTCGTCTGTGCCGGATTGGCAGGTTTCTGCTCGCTCGGGGTTGAGGATACACCTTTCGAGGGTAAGCCGTTCCTCTATGTGGGGCTTTTTCTGTGTTTGGAGGTAACAGGTGCTGCGAAGGGGAAGTGAGTGCATGGGGTAGGTGGTGACTGCTTGAACCGCCCGATTCAGGGGCTTGAGACTCTTCATGATTTTTGATTGTGGTATCAACTAGATGGATTTGTGAGGATTTGGGTTTAGAGGATGTTTGTAGACTTGGATTTACCCCGGACTTATACTCCGTGGCCACACAGTTGGGGATGACGTCATCATTTTTGAAGGCGAAAACTTCAAGTCTATCATGAGTAGAGGGACCCCGAAAATGATTATATGCAGGTCCTAATATCTGATATGTTATCGAAACTTGTATAAACATTGACCTGTCGCTGCTTGATGGCCGAAGACTGCATATATTCCGCTGTATGCATAAGGTATTCGAAATAAAAGGTCTATTCAAAAACAAGGAGAAAGCTCAGCTTGAGGATTTAAATGCTGTATAAGAACCTAGGGTTTCGATCGCCCATTTCCTGGATATCCTGCTCCGACAGCGATGATATTTTCTCGTCCTCCAGACCCTGGGCTCTGCGTTTGTTGATGAAACGATAGGCAATCCACATGCCGCCATACACCAGACCTGCAAATGCCACCATACCCAGAGTAACCGCATTACCACGAACGAAGCGCGGGCCTTCTGAATTAGGATACAAGAAAGGGGACATGACTCCGCTGATGTTTCCAAAGGTAAGCTGCAAGCCGGTCGCGTAGGTGCGTTTTGCGTATCGTGGCAGGTTCGTAGGCAGCCAGGCGAGAGGTAAACCAACTGCAACGTAAAGGCCCAGCGCGACCATCAAGGCACCGAAGTAATGGACACCCGAGGACGAGTCCGAAATCAAGATGCCGTAGCCAACGACTGAGATGGCGCAGAAGAGACAGATGAAGATTGCACGTTGTTGGGTGCGATCACTCAACCAGGCAACGCTCAGATAGGCAATGGCACCCAGTCCATAGCAAGGGATTGTCAATGCCTGGACCTCGGCGGTGGTCCAATTGCCCATGCCTTTGATAATAGTAGGGAGGAAGGTACTATATCCATAGAGCATGGTATCGATACCAAACTGACCAATGGAGAATGCCCAGATCTTCCAGTCCAAGACACCCTCTTTCACATCCGCCCAGTGGAACTTCTGGGCAGACTCTGTCTGGCCAATATAACGACTCCGGCGGCGGGCAACAAGCGCCCGCTCCTCTTTGTTGAGATAGTAAGCCGTGTCCGGGTCATCCGCCAAGCCGAACCAAGTTACCACGCCAAGTAAGACTGTGGGAATTCCCTCGATGATCATGATCCAGCGCCAGCCTCGCATTCCACAGATGCCGTCCATAAACCCAATTCCGTAAGCCAGTAACCCGCCAAAGGCCCCCGCAATAGCAGCGCTGCTAAACAGATAGCTTGTTCGCAAAGCAATCTCGCGTTTGCTATAGAAGAGAGTGAGGTAGGTTATGAAGCCCGGGAAAAGACCTGCTTCTACGACTCCGAGTAGGACTCGGCAGGCGATCAAGCCGCCATAATTCTGAGTGATCCCTGTGAGGGTCGCAATGATACCCCACAAGATTGAGATCGTGGCAATATACCGAGACGGCCTTAGTTTCTTTAGTACAAGATTTGAAGGGACCTCGAAAAACTGAACATTGGGGTTAGCGTCCGTGCGGTGACGGGATTGCGTGATATACATACACAGTAGGTCACGAAAAGGATGGACACGCAGACTTGGTACTGGTTGCCAACGAGTCCCAAGTCCTCCTCCAGGCCGTATAACCGTGCATTTCCAATGTTGACTGCATAGTCAAGTCAGCTGATTGTTTCCAATTCCTCGTTGGCACAGGCGAGTTGCAATCGCAAAAAGATGAGTCAGACACCCCACCCCCACGTACCTCGATCTAGGAAACTGAAGAGATACAACAACACCACGAAAGGAAGAATATGTAGGTCGATTTTTCTGATCAGAGTCTTTTCGACCCGTTCCTCGTCGAGAGTAGGCCCTGAGCTGAGTTCATCGGACACATCTTGGTTAGGTGAACCTGTATCAGGTTCAGCATGGCCCATGATGAGAAGCCAAATATGTAGACCAAAAAATAAGGCCCCTCTGGATGTGTCCCTAAGACAAACAATATCAAGTAACTAAGGACTCGGAAGGGTAAAATCTCACGCGAAAAGCCAAAAAGTGAAAAGGAAGAATTAAAGTTGCCAAGCGCCAAGAAGTTGGATAACCCTTGCAGTCGATTGATAAGACCCTCTACTCCGTCTAATACTTTCTTTTGTTCTATTCTTTTGTTTCTTTGGATATTTAAAAAGGTATTGCAATATAGAGATAAAAAAAATAATTAGGGTCCTGAGTCCTCGGTAGTGACCGTAGTGACCTTCCAAATTTGGAAGTATCGGGAATTGCATGACATAAATACAGGTGCCTGAGGCCGACATGCAGCCAGTTAACTAGGTAACTTAACTACAAGTCAAGTCTAATATCAGCAAGCCCTGGTAATTAGCCTAGAGACACCCGTTAGACATATATCTAGCTATAATAAGTCTTCTCTGGTATAAAAGTCTACCGTTACAGAGCAAAAATAGGCAGGTCAGCAGATCTCGCGATAGACGGGCCTGGCCAGCTTACCTAATCCCAAATCCCGCTGTGATTTTTTTGCCCATTGCCTATTTGCTGCAGAAAGCGAGACGAACTATCACCCTTCTGGTTCTCTTCTGCACTATAGTCAAGGATTGATATCTTGCCATGAACGGGACTTTTTTCTGCCCTGTTCACGTTCACCCCGCAATGCATTGCTGACGGATCACACTCTTAACTTCACTCTCACCATGAGAAGTCCTTCACCTCGCGTTTTACAGAGCTTCGCAAACGACTCCTGAAATTTGCTATCTGAAAGTTTTGATATTTTCATTTCTCCACCAAAAGAGATCTGGAACATCGACATCCTGTCCTTCCGCTCTCCTGGGTCTCGCACAATCAAAATATCAAAAAGCATTAAAAAGCATCCAATCATCCAGAAAAAGTACCGACCAATGGCCGACTTAGTCATTCCTTCCTTTGGGAAGCTAGTCGCATCCAAAACCCTTAATGGCCATACCGGCTGGATTTGGGATGTGACCCTTTCTAGCAATGGTCAAATTCTCGCCTCAGTCTCCAATGACATGATGATCCGTCTATGGAACGCCAACACCGGTCTCCAGCGCGGAGCCGCAAAAGACAACGGCCATTCCCACTGGGTGCGCACTGTGAGATTTTCCCCAGCGGGCCGATTCTTGGCCACTGCTTCCGATGATATGACCATTCGCATCAGCGACGTAAACACCGGGTTCACCTATCGCATGCTGCAAGGCCACACCGGCAAAGTGCGAGCGGTGGAATTCTCCCCCGACGGAAGAACCCTCGCTTCAGCCTCAGATGATTTCACGGTACGACTGTGGAATGCGAGCTCAGGTTCGCTGCTCAAGACCCTCAATGGGCACTCGGGTTGGGTGTGGGCCGTGGCCTTTTCGCCTGACGGAAAGACCGTCGCTTCAACCTCGGACGATAACACAATTCGTCTCTGGGACACAGCCACCGGCAATGAAATCCATCAACTAAGTGGCCATGAAACTTCAATCAGGGCTGTTTGCTTCTCTCCAAATGGGAAGCTGCTAGCGTCCGGATCGCAGGACAAGGACGTGCGCATCTGGGATACAACTTCTGGCGCCATGCTCAACGTCCTCCAAGGTCACTCTGGCCCTATCCGCGTGATCAAATTTTCTGCTGATGGGAACCAAGTGGTATCTGCGGCCGATGATCAGACGATTCGCGTATGGGCTGCGCCATCAGGGTTTTCCTGCGTCCGAGTCTTAACGGGACATTCGGGGTGGGTCCGGGCCATTACTTTGTCTGCCGATGATAACATGGTAGTCTACACATCTGATGACATGACTATCAAGATCTGGAACTCGGCGTGATTCTCTCTCGGCAATGGCCTGAGGATGGTCTAGGAATACGAGGGAATATCCTTCTTTTTGACGCACGCGTTTGTTTATTTTTTTTGTTTGAGATACCCACCAATGTTCTTGATTCTTCAGCTCGCATGCAATTACTTGCGATTAGCAATCAACTTATTTTAATTGATCAAAATCCGGAACCAAAACTTGTCCTTTTTACCTAGTTTGAACAGGGTCGAAGTCGCTATGGTCAAGCTCGTCCGCTTTATTCAAGAACACTACTTTGTACATCAGGTTTTCAATCCATAAGCTTACTCACGCAAAAATGTGAGACGCGGGAACGTGCTGGATGTGCTGCAGATCTCTACCTATTCCCAACTTTTGTACAGGGTTAGTGTGACTCACTCGGATTCTTCTACCTAGTTTATTAGCCAATAGGACGGTATGTGTTGCTACTACCCCTATCGCATACGCTTAATCAGTATAGCATCAAAATAGGCAAAGATGGACACTCTAGCTCTGATCGAGCTCTATGAGTCAATTTGATAGAATGTACCCTTCAACATTTGTCTCTTGCCAGTATCTTTACTTGGACTGAGATCATGCGCCAATCAGCAAATACATTAAACCAACCAATGTCAAATGAAACTCATCACCAAGTCGATGGTGAAACCAACAGCAAACCCACAATCACAGAAAATGTCCTCCAAGAAAAGGCCGAGATCCAGTCCTTGACCATTGACTTTGAAGAAAACGACCCCGGAAACCCACTGAACTGGCCCAGATCAAAGAAATGGACGATAACACTTGTTGTCTCTCTTTCGGTGTTTCTAATGCCATTGTCTTCGTCAATTGTCGCACCTGAGTTGAGCACTATCAAAGATGAACTGCACATGAGCAGCTCATTAGAGGCAGTCCTAGTCATGTCAACTTTCATCCTGACCTACTGTCTCGGCCCTCTGATACTAGGACCATTGAGCGAGATGTTTGGAAGAGCCGCAGTCTTGCACTTGGGGAATACATTCTACCTGATCTTCAACTTGGTGTGTGGCTTCGCTCGGAATGAGGGCGAACTACTGGCTTCCCGTGTACTCGCCGGCTTTGGAGGCGCGGGTGGACTTGTTGTGAGTACACCCGCTTCTTCTACGCCTATGTCTTGCTCTAACAAACATAGGTGGGCGCGGGTATCATCAGCGACTGCTTTCCCAAAGAAGAGCGTGGCTGGGTCATTGCTATCTATAATCTTGGGCCAGTCTTTGGCCCTTCCCTGGGGGCTGTCGTTGGTGGGTTTATCACTCAATACACAACATGGCGCTGGGCATTCTGGGCGACATCCATCTTCGACGGGGTCTTGATCATGCTCGGTTTACTTGTCATGCAGGAGACATATCCACCCGTCATCCTCGCCAGGAGAAAGGCAAGAATGTTGAAAACGGCTGCGCCAAACGCTCTATTGATGACACCTTATGAGAAACCAGACCAGACTCTGGGCCAGTTATACCGCAACTCTCTTCTTCGACCCCTGCAGCTACTGAGAGTCCAGCCCATTGTCCAGCTCCTAGCCTTCTTCTATGCCTATCTATACGGGCTAATGTATCTAGTTCTCTCCACCTTCACAGCTCTCTGGGAAGAGAAATACCACCAGCCCGTCGGTCCTGCTAGTCTAAACTACCTCGCACTGGGAATCGGATACTTCCTTGGTTCACAGTTATGTGGGTTCCTCGCAGACCCAATCTACAGAACCCTGAAAAAAAAGCATGACGGGAATGGCAGACCGGAATTCAGAGTAGTTCTCATGTTCCCCGCCTCAATCCTCGCTCCTGTCGGTCTGCTGTGGTACGGTTGGGCAGCACAGGCCGTCACACATTGGATTTTGCCTGATCTTGGTATTGCGCTGTTCGCCGGCGCTGCGATGATTCTGTTCCAGTCTACCAGTGCATATCTGTATGAGGCTTTTACTTTGTATGCGGCTAGTGCGACGGGTGCTGTTTATATTCTTCGTGGATTGACGGGGTTCGGATTTCCTCTTTTCGGTCCGAGCATGTATCAGTCCTTGGGTTATGGATGGGGAACTACTATGCTTGCTCTTGTTGCTGTTGTTATTGGCTTTCCGGTGCCAGTCATTCTTTGGAGATGTGGTGAGCGACTTAGAGCTCGGAGTACTTATGCTGTTGGGTAAAGCAATGATTTAAAAGCTATAACTCACTTGACTTTGTACAATTTATGGAAGGAAAATGTCTATAAAACAGGACATCTGGTGTAGCAGGTTGATGCATGAAGCTAGCATGAAGCTATGTAACCTCGGTCTAATTATCCACCTCCGCACCTACTAATACCCTAGCTTTGGACTTAGGTTCTCTAACATTCCAACTATCAACGACTCACAACGTTTTACGATGTCTGATAACTACGGCAGCTACCAAACGGAGATCTATGGCAAGGGTGCCTTAATGGGCATCCTGCCTGGCGTCACCACCGACCCCCGCAAGCTAGAGGAACAAGCTCGAGAGTATCTAGGCGTTCGCGCATTCAATTATGTCTCCGGCGGAGCAGGCGAGAAAGCGACAATGGATAGCAACCGGCTGGCATTCCGGCAGTGGAAGCTGTAGGTTTCTAAAGGTTTACCACAATACCCAGACTAACGGACGAGGCCGATAGAATCCCACGAATGATGCGAAATGTGAGTCGAGAGAGTCTACAATAAAACTACGTTCTCGCTGACCGATGACATACGCAGACACCCGAGCAAAACGTTTCAGTCGAGCTCTTCGGTCAGAAATACGATAATCCCCTTATCGTAGCACCGGTCGGCGTGCAAGGTATTTTCCACGAAGACAAAGAGACAGGCCTTGCAGAAGTATGCGAAGAAGTCGGGGTACCGTATACGATGAGCACGGCGAGCACGAGCTCGATTGAAGATGTTGCGACCGCTAATAAGGACGGGAGGCGATGGTATCAGCTGTACTGGCCGAGGGACAACGACGTTACGTTGTCGCTGCTAAAGCGGGCCAAAGAGAACGGGTTCTCGGTTCTGGTTGTTACCTTGGATACCTGGTCGCTGGCGTGGCGACCGGCAGATTTGGATAACGCCTATGTACCCTTTATCAAGGGGGTGGGGAACCAGGTCGGGTTTAGCGATCCTGTTTTCCGCGCGAAGTTCGAGAAGGAAACTGGGTCAAAGATTGAGGAGGATATTGTTGGTGCTTCGCGTGCGTGGATCGGGGACATCTTCGCTGGCAGTCCGCATTCATGGGAGGATTTGGTTTTCTTGCGGAGGAATTGGGATGGGCCGATTGTGTTGAAGGGCATTCAGCACGTGGACGATGCGAGGCTGGCGCTGGAATATGGATGTGATGGGATTGTCGTATCAAATCATGGTGGTAAGTGACTTCTCTGGCCAACTTTTCCCATGCTTTTCTCTAATAATTCTCGTCCAGGCCGTCAAGTGGATGGTGCTATCGGGTCTCTGGACGTTCTTCCGGAAATAGTCGATGCAGTCGGGGACAAGATGACGGTACTTTTCGATTCCGGGATTCGGACAGGCTCGGATGTGATCAAGGCATTGTGCTTAGGAGCCAAAGCAGTTCTTGTTGGTCGACCGGTAATTTACGGACTGAGCATTCAGGGCCGAGACGGGGCCAGGCAGGTGCTCAAGGGTCTTTTAGCGGATTTGTGGCAGAACATGGGCCTATCGGGGATTCGGAGGGTGCAAGATTGTGACCGGAGTCAGATTCGCAAGGTGCAATACGGAGGTGACGTGAAGGCGATGATGTAGGATGAATCAGATTGAGTACGGAGTACTCCGTACATAGTACGTCTATAGAAATCCCGGAAGTCGATCACATGTGAAATGGCCGATCTTCAACAATTGGAATTACCTGGCTCACACCTACATGGACAAGAACAGTGTAAATGTATAATCTTCATGGATTGAATATTCTTGATATGTTTATAAAGTCCAGGGATGAAGCAAAACCTGATGAGATGGATCTGGACTATCCGCACGCTCATGCTCCCTCGGGATCGACTCTGCTCCCGCGACCAGTCGCATCGTTGATATCTTTGATTACACAGTCGACCTCGCTGTCGTTACGACTGGGCACATTCTTTGGTGGGGCGGCCCTAGATGGAGCGCGAGCCACGACTCTGACTAGCTTGGAACTAAGTCGGGCTTTGGTCGAGGGAATCTTGACGAGGGCAGGACGAGATGTCGCTATTCGTAGTAGCGATGAACACGGTAAAACAGAAGCCGAGTCTCTCCTCGAGCGAAGTGTATGTTCCTGAATCCTGCAGGGGCTGTCGACTTGGTCTTAATTAACAACCCCCTAGTTGGCGACGCTCCACACGACAGTGACCTCGGCATCTTTTTTCGCTGCAGCGACATTTCATTTCTCGTCAACCACTTTGTCTTCGGTTGCAAATCTCTCGCAGGCACTTCTGTCTACTTTGGATGCTATTCTTGGATCCACCGAGTCTTCGAGGGCCATTGCGGCTATCATCACGCTTATTCGACGTGAGTTTAGATCCGTTGAACCCGGCGCAAGCACCGAGAATATCGGTGTCGGAGACCTCCTCATCGGCTCTTTGGGCTTTGCGCTATTGCAACGTTGGGGTAAGAAGAATACCGAAAGACATCTGCGACAGAATGGCGGGGATGAGATTGTTTGGGATGTTGTCATCCTGGACAACGGCGCAAGAGCAGACGTGATCGGATCCCATCAATTACAAATCCCCGATCGCAATAATGAAGAGTCATTGGAGTCTGGCAGTGCTTCCTTTGTGGTGCCTAGAAACGGCGAGGAAGCTTTTGATGTGCTACGACGGTCGAGCATGTCTGATGCGTTTGGGCATCGTCTCTCTATTCCGCTCGATGGCCAGCAGCAAGTGTCTGATGAGGATATCCGCGCTTACATTATGAGCCAACTTCCTCAAGGCTGTCATGCATCTATCAGATCGGAAGTCCTGACGGCGCGAACGATCACGGTCGATATTTACGATGATGATACGGCAGAGATCGCCGCGCCGCCTGGCACAAAAATGATCGAGGAGAGATTCCATCATGATCATGGTTATGGGGACACCACTACGGCCGATGGCCAGCGACGGTGTCCCAGGCATACAGTGGTATTTAGGACAGCCTTCAACAAATCCCAGAACACTCAGCTGCGACCCTATGACGGCCCTGGAATTTCTGCCTTACCTGAGCCTGATCATCATACACGAGCATTGCCAGGCAACTCACTATCCAATAGTCCGGTGAAATCTCATCATGATCAGTCCCATTTGCATCCCGATGCTACACAGGACATTGCTCCCAAGCACCGTGGAACAACTCCCGACTCGCCGAATGAATCTCCCAGGGCTACATTTAGCAAAGGCACATTCGCAAAATTTGCACAAAAGGTTAAGCCAGCTGCTCTAGAAAAAAGTGAAGTCAAACGGCCACCGGGAAAGAGGCCATCTATTATCTCATCTGGGGCCTCGGCGATTCCAAGTCCTCGTCTCCCTCCCAGGCCTACAAAAGGAACAGCGGCTGTGAAACAAGCCACTGCGCGAGAGGTTTCCAACAGGCCCGCTCTCAAGAAGAGACAAACCGAACCTCTAAGCTATCGACCGACAACTCCTGTCCCAAATCGGGGTTTACGAAGATCGCCCTTCCCAAACTCCACGCAAAAACAGTCGCCAGAGTCGCAAACGAAACACGCCCCATCTCACGAGATGCATGCCTCTAGGGGCTCACGAGGGGGACATTTCGCGGTGAGAGAGAAGAGCCAAGAGTCGCTCCTCACTCAAACCGACACATTCCTCTCACGCCGTGGCGCTGGTATGCGTCCCGGATCGCCGACTCACGTTCGCAGCAGCAGCTCCCTATCTATGACAAGATCAGAAGCAGACGGGAGTGTGTATGCGAATGATAGCCGCCCTGGCTCGTCGGCTATGCATAACAGATCTCAATCATATACCCCAAGCCTGTATTCACTAGCAACTGCAGGGCCCGAGACATCGCTACTGCTTGCGCATCGGCCTCGCAAAAGTGCATATGAAGACATGGAAACCATCCAGGCGCTCAACCGCGATGGATTTGTTCCAGGCATTTTTCCAGAGAGACACTTCGTGCAAAACATTCGCCGGTTCTGTCGGTTCTCCGCTGCCTCATATGGCTCAAATGCACTCACAGTCATGGGCGTTCCTAGTGGCTCGAAGAATATACCTAATACCAAGTCAGACAGCCACGAGCACAGTGCATTCTCAGAGAATGCAGGTCTTCCACCCTCAACGATCCTTCTATCATCATTCGTCGATCCAGCTGGTGGCTCGAACTCAGCTGGTGAGACAGAGACAGGCTTCCCACTAGTCCACTATCTTTCCATCGACCATGACTCCAAAGCCGTGGTTCTGACTCTACGAGGAACATGGGGCTTTGAGGACATCCTCACAGACATGACTTGCGATTACGACGACCTCGAATGGCAGGGCAAAACCTGGAAAGTGCACAAAGGCATGCACGCCTCAGCCAAGCGGTTACTGGAGGGCGGCGGCGGCCGAGTAATGATCACCCTACGTGCTGCACTAGAAGAATTCCAAGACTACGGCATAGTCCTATGTGGGCACTCGCTCGGCGGAGGCGTCGCAGCACTTCTCGCAACAATGATTTCAGAACCAAACCCCTCCGAAACAGGCACATCCTTCGTAACAGCCTCATACCAACCCGCCACCGGTCCCCGCCTCTTGACCGCAGATACCAACCCCGACATCGCAGACCCCAGCCCACCGACCTACACCATCCCCGCGAACCGACCAATCCATGTCTACGCCTACGGCCCCCCAGCGACGATGTCCCCCTTCCTCCGTCTCGCCACACGTGGCCTTATAACAACAATCGTGAACGGCTCAGACATAGTTCCCAGCCTGTCACTAGGTATCCTACACGACATGCACACCGCGTCACTATCTTTCAAAGACGACGCCACAGGTGCAAAAGCACACATCAAGCAACGGGTCAGCGATTCCGTCCGCCAAAGCATCATCCACAAATTCTACGTCAACCAGCCACCGCTGGTCGTCAATGCTGGCGATGGCGTCGGCGAAGACGCCTGGGCGTGGAAAACGTTGAAATTGCTGCGCGATGAGATGCGTGCACCGAAGCTTATGCCGCCCGGTGAGGTTTTTGTCGTTGAGACGATGCGGGTTCTGCAGCGGGATGCGTTTACGGCTCCAGAGCTTGGGGTCGATGGATATCCGCGTCTTGGGAGGCCTGCGACTCGTGTGCAGATTCGGTTTATTCGGGATGTTGATGCTTGGTTTGGTGAGTTGCGCTTTGCGGGTGGGATGTTGAGTGATCATAATCCGGCGCGGTATGAGACTAGTCTTGCTGCGTTAGTGAGGGGGGTTTTGGATGAGTAGACCTCAGGAGGGTGGCATTTATGGTTGTAATGATTTGATGATACGTTTAGGGCACAGATAGACAAGATTTAAAGTGTACAATTTAACGGACCTCTTATAGTTGTCTAGGTCAGTCAGTTAATGCTTCATACTTCGAACAGTGTGTACAAGAAGTAGTTGATGGAACTTGACTTGTCATAAGAAAACGACTATGAAGATATAGAAATACGAGCACTACAAGGACTACAGGATAACAAAACAGAGAGAAATGGTCTTCATCATAGAATATACATTGAGAATCGTAATTTTATATGGTGTATAGAACCGACCCATCTAAACCAAATGGGAATCCGATAAAAAGAATCAAAACCAAGATCCAGGGTATCATCACGGCATATCACACAACGCCAAACAAAAGAAATCCCCACCAGACAAAAGAAAAACCCCCCCTTCCTAAAAAAAATAACATGACAAGAATCGAAAGAGTATCAAGACAAGCCACAACCGCTTATACAGCAAGCGCAGTAGCAACAGCAGCAGGACCGGGGCGACCAGAGTGGCAACCACGCTCGTGGCGCTTCATATTGCTGCGCACAGAGAAAGCCTTTCCGCAGCCGGCATGGGTACAGCGGAAGGGCTTCTCACCAGTGTGCGAGTGGGAGTGGATGCGCAGAGAAGAAGGACGCGAGAAAGCCTTGTGGCAGGTACGGCAGATATAGCGGTCGTGGTTCTGCTGGTACGGGGCTGAAGTAGAGGGCGGGAAGTAATGGTGGTGTTGCCAGGCCGGGGTGACGGGGGAGATGAGAGCCGAAGACGAGTGCGAGTGGGAGTGTGAGTGAGGCTGCTGCGTCTGGACCTGGACTGTGGGCAACTGGGGAGCTGATGCTGGGGTTGAGGGCTGGAAGGAAGATGTGGTTGGCGGGCGAGGGTAGTACATTGGCTGTTGAGGAGCGTCGATTGGAGATGTGTAAGATGAGACGCTTGGTGCGGGTGAGGCGTAGGGTGCTGTGTTGCGGGGGATGTGAATTGAGCCGTTGCTTGAGATAGAAGAACGGTGTAGGTGGTGGTGGTGGGCTTCCTTGTGAGAGAGCGACTCCACCGGTGATGCGCGGCGGTGGGCGTGGCCAGAGCCGGGACGCATAGGTGGTGTTGGGGGCATCTCGTAGGACTGGACGCGGACGTGGTGTTCGCCGAGAGATGGTGAGAGACGTTGGCGCTCTGGTATAGGGTTAGATAAGATGTTTGTTGAGGTATGGTTGGGGCTACTTACTAGCTGCGTGCTGAGCACCATCGGCACCCTCGAAGAGAGACGAGATTGAAGGCAATGAAACCTTAGGCTCTTCCGCTGGCGGCGACAGAGGCAGCGAGCGCTTATAGTAGCTGGACTCAAGAGGAGTATACATCGGCTTAACAGCCGTGTGAGAGAGGAGGTTGGCGAGATCCATGATGAACAAGTGTTGGAGAGGTTTGATCCAGGTGCGTTTCAAGTTCGGCTTTGTTCAGTGAGTGGGGGATGCCACGAGGTTTATACCTAGAAAGCAGGCGGGCGGCTTTGGATGATCGCCAGCGGACGATGCCGACTCAGGCAAAATTACGATTTACGTTACCATTTTTAATTCATTTTAATACTTTTTTGGTATTTATTTTATTTAATTTCTCTTTACGTTTAATTTTTAATGAGACGCAGTCTGCTCCAAAGCTTAATTTAATTGATTTTTCCTACTTTAGGTTTAACAAATTCAATTTAAAATTAATCTAAGCGAGATAAATAATAAATAATAATTCTTTTCGGAGATTAACGTGGGGAATGACGATTCCACCACGCGAGAGGGAAAGCCCTAGCCACCCAGCCTTGTGGGATGTGCAGCGCCCTAAACCCAAATTGGGAGGCCGTAAAAACCCCGTTGGACGATTGCACTCGGCTACGGTTAGTGCAGATCCTGCTGGACCTGTCACATATCCTAAGCCACCCCATAAACGGCTGATCGATCAGTGATCTGTTGATCTGCGAGAGCGATGAACGTGTCGTCTACAGAGTAGAGATTGATATAATCATTCTTGGGATGTCTTACTTTGAACTACGATAATAATAATAATAACAATAATAATAATAATAACAATAATAAAAGTTCAAAACCCGGGGAGCACACGGTTCAGGAGATCATTTGTCGCGTGGCTATGGAGAAAAACGGCGTAAGCGAAAAGGGAAGGTCACAAAGGGATGTGACTAGTCCGTTTTGGGCCACACCTCCGGAACCTTGGATTCATATTTACGCCTACGCTGCTTATACGCTGAACCGGGTACGGAGTACCTTACCATGGATTGGCCATGCATGAATTTAATTTAATCTATTCCCATCACCGCTACAATCACGGGTTGTCACCAAGGGCGGCTCTAAGCGCTGGAGGTGAGGAAGGGGAATATTTGAAACAATTAATCCATGGCCCTGGGCTCGCTTACACAGGCCATCCAGGCACATTTAGCGGAGTACATGCATGTATATCATGCATGGGGGAAAACTTGTCTGTCCACTCTGGTGCATAATACGTATACGATATTCAGTTAATTTGTGACTCTAGTCGCCAATCGTGGATATAGTTTCAGATTGGAGAGGAAAGTTCATCGGCAGTTAAGTCCCCATACCTGCTGAGTTAAGAAGGTGACAAAGGCCTAGAGTCGTTCTAGGACCCATGCTCCTGAAGATCATTCCTCGAAGCCATGGAACTGAACTAAGTCTCTACCAGACAAAAGGAACTAATGAAACGATCGGCGTTCTGGAACATTACTACTATTACCGTTACCTGTAAATGTTTTCCGGCCGTGCACTTCTGCACAGGCACGACTGGGGATTGGCCGTTAGCGGTGGATTTATCCCGGCCTCGTGGAAGCGAGCTCCACTATTTACCACTTTACGAGAGATCGCCGACGGAGGAATACTATAGAACGGACTGTTCAAGGTAGAGTAGATGACAACAGGACATAGATTAAATTGTATATTAATTTAATTTTTTGTTCCTTTGCTTCTACATGTATCTCGCCCGGTACTCCGTATTCCCCCTATATATAGCGATTGATTATTCTAGAATGGCTCGAGCGTCAGGATCGTCCCGGGCCTACGGATGATCAACCCCCTTGTCGGCACTTGTACGGATCGCCTATCCTCAACTGAGTCTGGTCCCGATTTTTGTATTCCGCGGGCATTGATTGGGTCTCCCTTGGTTCGACGATATTTGACCTTTCATATTCAGCTCCTCGCCAAAGTCATGTAAGTCATAGTTTTGCAAGTGTCATAGGAAAGACACTTTAAGAGATCTCCATTCTAAAAAAAACTTGACGGTCGGAAGCCTATTTTTTGTTTCCTTTTTTTTCCTTTTCAGATTTTCTTTTTGTTATGAAACCGGGAAAAGTGTGATCCGCTCGAGTCCCATGGAAGGAATTTTATGCTTTCCGTTTAGATTTTTTTCAAATTCAAATGATACAAGGGTTATTTTTCCCCCTTCCACTCTACTATATTCTATAGTATACACTATCATGCCACGCACACATTCTATTTTTTTATTCAAGAATCAATAGTTCAATCTGAACCGAGGAACATTAGTGATCGAACTATCCTATTTTGGTCATAGATCCGGGTAGGTAGCGGATTCAGCCGTGATCGCTGATCGTCTTTTGGTCCCGGGGCAATGGGCCCATGCCACGCGACTGTCTCACCCCTTTCTTCCCGGACACACAGGCTTATCCAGGTCGAGTTAATGGTCGCAAATCAGTGGGGCTGAATATGGCCGCACGAGGAACCTGGATCTTCAGTGTGATACATTGTTAATAATATGTCCTCTACCGATGTATACGCTGAATACGATGCCCAAGTACAGGTTGCCTTGTGAAGAGGTTGACACATGGCACTTGCATATCCATGCAGCCGACTGTATTGTGTTCTGCTGTATCACATATCACATCATGTTGTGTTTCAAGGGAAATTCAAAACTATAAATTAAAATTAAAAATCCGTGAGTTCCAAAAAGTTAGAGTGGTTTTCCTTCCATTCCTTGGGAAGGTTATAAGCCGAGAAATTACCATAAATTACCTAAATATCTCCGTAGATCCCCGAAATTACGGTAAATTCTAAACCGCCAAGCTTGTTACACGCCGATCGGGATTGGTAGATCCGATCTTACGCTTGTACCACTTTGGAAGGTACTTTCATTGGACGAAATGCAATATAATATGCACCTTGTTTATTTTTTTTCCTCCCCATCTCACGTGGCAGCAAGCCCTAATCTGGCATTCAATCCGATGCACCTGTCTGCGTCCGATCACTAGGATATGCGCATAGGATCTTCCCGCGACGAAGACTGCAGTAGTATACATATTATATGCTATTTATGCATTGGCTTATTGAATATTGAATCCTGATCAGCGTGTCCAATGACTTTGACTTCTATACTCCGTGCTCATTTCCACATTTTCAAGGTTCATCTACAATAATCTTTTTACCATCCTACAAGTATAGAAAGTCTACTACAGTATCTGATTTGAATCCTACAACATACACATCTATCCTCCTTCCTATTCAGAAATGATCGATGGATCAACGAAGATCCAACTTCAGGGGATAACTGATGGTCATAGCTCCCGCTGATTCAGCCCATGATCGCCCGCCATCTCTAAGCGACGACCATTTAGGTAATGCCTCCGATGCGGTCCTCCACGTAATGTCGATATTGTTATGCGACTCGTATTTGACCCCTGGTGCTTATACAACGCACTGCATATCGGAATATTGGTTGGGATATAGATTTAGATTAGATACTTAATCTGATGTCTTCGTCATTTCGTGATCTTGATGGCTTGACCCCCATTGATTTCCACATTAATATTACTTCGCACTGTGGAATGAATTTGATTAAAGGGATTATGAACCACTCCTTCAGGATCCAATATTTCGGTGTTTTTGATCCTTTCGGCCCCCAAAAAACAGGAGAACAGCGTTCATTTCTACACCGCAGATTGTCATAAACGTATCTACCGTATAGCCCAGCCGTACCCGAACCCGAGAACCGAAAATCAGGGGGGAAAGTAATAATAGAATGTCAACACCAAAAGCAAAAAAAAAAATCCTACAACCGAATGCCAAACGAGGGATGATCGATGTCGATCATCGGACAATATACAACATACGGAGTACAATTTTGACCGTCTCGAAAGAAGATAGATCTGACAGAAGGTGGCTGTCGCTTCCACGGAGTCGGGCCCGAAGAGAAACCCTTAATAATACATAAGGGCTCCGGTATAATCCTACCGAGACGTACTAGTCCCATATAGGTGCACGGAGTTTAGACGCCAAGGGGTCTTGGATGAGAGACGGTTGGAACTCGGCATATCTTAAACTCCGTGGAACGACCTGTTCGTCAAGAGCGATCACAAAAAAATAAGACAGCCGGGATCTTTACCGGTCGTACTATTTCCAGTCTTGGTATAAGACCCGTGGACGATCGGCCGTGGGCCCCCTGGCATCGGGCTACACTGTTGTTCTAGCTCTAGGCCTGCGAACTGACCATGTCGTAGGTTCCATAATTTTGCCTCTGCGGAAAAATGGAGAAGATGGAGTGATGGAGCTATTCCCATGGGCTTGATTGCTATTTTAGGGAGGTGATTCTGGATCTATCGTCATCGTCGTAGATCTTGGGCTCCTTGTCAGTACCCCCTTTCACGTCAAGTCTCAGCGCTTCGGTAGATCTAGACTTTGACCAGTCCATGTCTCTACTACCGTCGTATCTGGATATCGATCTGCACTCCGTTCCACTGGAGCTATGAAACACCCGAGAAACATTACTGCGCAAAACTCATAAAACCATATCCGAATTAAGCCATACACCCGGGCATAGTCTACGGAATAATCTGATAGCCTTTGATAGTCCTTGATAGTTGGTTTCATTCACTTGACTCTTTGCCTCGGTACTCTATATCGTACAATGTACATGGACGGAGTACCTCCTCTATAGACTCTGGAGAATGAATAAAGTTCGGCCTTTGATTACTTTGATTAAGGTCCTGCCTATTTTGGAATCATACACCTCTTCCTTTCATTTAGATTTAGCATTATGCGTTACCATGATCCTTCTCGGTTACAGATCTTTGTCTGGGCACCTGGAAGGATTCATTGTCGCAACCGTTGGAGATATCGCTTCCAACCCGGCTCAAAATTATGTGATGTCTCGGGATCCACTCGCCGATAGCCACCCACTAAGCTCACTACGTATGCAATGCAACTACTCCGTCCTCCGGACATACTCCGTATGCACCGGGGCAGTGGGGAGAAGGGGGGGGGGGGGGGGGGGGGGGGAAGGGTCTGATCATACCCAGCCTCCCAGGAAATTTGCACATGTCTATGACGGATACATACGAGACCAATGCCCATCGCATTGATCGCTTGGGAGGCGCGTCTGCAATGTCATTGCCAATGAGAAAACCCAGTCCTTCTGCAGGGTATAGAGTTTCGACGCAGTGATCACCGAGCCGGGGCTCCGTTCCTAATTCGGTCGCATGGCAATCCCCGAATCATCCCTGTCAAAGCAATTTCGCCTTGTACAACATAGAACGTACGTTGTTGTGTGGACGCTAATCGTAGATCCTGGGTGATCGACATATGGTTTTCTGTTGTTTTATGCCGGCAATTGTTTCTTCCCTTGTGCGGGGATTGGGTAGGAAAGGTGTGAGCCCATTATTATGGAAACACTATATACTCCTGCGCCATTAGATTGGTAGACTAGAATGGTAGATCATCGATCCTACCGTTGCATTCCAGGCTTTTACTTTTTTGGGCCTCGTTGGTTATACATCCTTCTTTACGTGAGGGCTTGCATTGTACTCCGTACATGATATGTGTGTGTTGTAGTTACAAGGTACATGTTTCCCACTCCAAATTTTGCCTATGCAGCCTGGGTCGCAATATACTTCCAAGTCACCAGGCCGTCCAGATCTAAATATGCCGGGTGTGGCCGAGATTGTATGACGCTGTTGGGATCTGAACTCTCGTGGCACTTGATATACAACATATCTGTTGTGTGTGCCATGTAACCCTTGGTTTACACTGTATTTGGCTTAGTTTAGGTAAGGCCCTCAAGCCACGTTGGGAGCCGTTGAAAAGGATCAAGCACCAGAGTGACCAATGCGTAGACTCTGGGGGCCGTGCAGGACTCTCCAAGCGCCATGATGCATCTAGTATTGAAACCTGATGTATCATTTCAAGACAAAATGACTCACTATGGATCTCTGTAGTTTAGTAATCTAATTTTCTAATTTGCGGTGAAATGACCGCAAGTGGGTATTGAAGGGCAAAGTTAGAAAAAAAAAAAAAAAGAAAAGGTCAGGATCAGAGATGAGAAGCATATGTTTGCATCGTAGATTATCAAGCCAATAGACTAGTATATGCATGGTCATCTCAATGGGGACAAGAGATGACATGAGACACAGTTGAAATCAAAAGAGACAAAGGCACATTAGAGTTGATCTTAGCGAGATGAATGCCTAATGCCGGCATTCCATTGGCGTGCAATCCTCCGGTGATCGACGGAGACGTCGATCTGAGCTCTCTTTTGCAGGTTTTGATTTTTTTTTTCCACCTTGTTTCTGTGCAAGCGAGGAGCGATCTTTTTCTTGTTTGGTCGAATCGTCCGATCCAAGCATGGATGAGAATCCTGTTCATCGATTTCAGGCAGCCCCCCGGGACTAAGAAAGAAAAAAGTCAAAGATAAACGGCGACCTCTTTGACCTCGAGCCTTGGACAAATTCGTCTGCGGCTCCGTTTTGGCCCCGTATGCAGGATCGGTCACTCCGTGTCTGTGCGCTCATGTTAATGTGATATCTTCTGGTTTTTTTTTTACTATGGAGTACAGGCAATATAATATGTAAAACGATGTTCATGACTATGTTATTTTTCTCTGAAATCTACATAGAGCCCGAAGTTTGCCCGGAAGATAGGGTAAAGAGGGTAAATTGGATGAAATGGGTATCGCAGAATAAATTAACCAACTTCATTAGGCATAGACGTTTACTTGACCGCTGCTTTGCATGACTTCAGACGGCCCACTGGTGATCGCGTTGGCGGCCACCTTCCTCATGTTCTGAATTGCCTTGTTGAAGTCGGTCGTGTCGTAATCTTCGGGCATATGCTCTCCACTGTAGATACAAAGCACGCGCATACCCGGCTTGTAAGACAGTTGTTCAAGCAGCTTCGGTGTAATGAGGAAGTACTGGCCGCCGCCGCCACCACCGATGGGATTGCCATTCTCGTCGGTTTCCTCGGTGTCGCCCGCACAGGCAATGTCGACCAGGCGTCCGTGAACCATGCGCTCGTTTCGCGGGTCCATACCTTGATTGATCTCATCGACAACACGGAAGGGCGAGGCGGAGAGCGACTGAAGTGCCATGAGATAGAAGATGGTACTCACGGCTCGCTCACCACCAGACTGGCGATGTGAATCCAAGACCGAAAGCCCTGCACCCTCGCGAAACTGGACGTGAATCACAATCGACCACTCCCCAAATTCGCTAGGACCAGGCTCGCCATTGGGCCCAACTTCACCTTCCACTTTGCCCAAGGTGACCTGGCCAGCACATCCAATGCGACGGAAAGAATCCGAAAAGGCATCACTGATCTTCTCGATGAGCGCTTCCAACTTGGGCTCCCAGTCCTTGCGGATGTCTGTGATGGCGTTGCCAAGTTCTGTAAGCTTGTCCAGAAAGTCGGCGAGTTTGGAACGCAACTTCTCAATGGCCTTTTCACGGTCTTCGAACTCCTTGATCATGTGGCTGCTACCACCATGGGTGAGCTCCAGTCGGGCCTTTTCAGAGTCAATGTCAGCTTCGAGTTTATCCATGTCATGGTCATTGAGCTCTTCAAGTAAAGCTTGCGCGTCGGGTTCGTCGTGTAGTTCTCGGCTGATGCGCTGAGCTTTTTGCAAAACTGCTCTGGCCTTCACTTTGGATTCCCTTAATTTGACTGTGGCTTCCTGCGCCTCTCGTCTCTTTGTTTCTAGTAACTTCGTGCTGTCAATGTTGCGATGCCGCAAGGTCTGAAGATCGGACGTCGCCTCCAAGAATAAGACCTCGACTTTCACGAGCTCCTCATGAGCTTGGCGGAACAATTCAACAGCATCCTACATTGCGTCAGACTTTTGTAAATAAATAGACAGACATGTCAGTGGTGAACTCACGGCATATTCGACAGCGGCCTCAGCCTTTTCAATTGCAATCTCGTCTTGTTGATTGCGGAACCCACGAACTCTCTCCAGTACCCCTTCAAACATCGATGTAATGTTTTTAAGTTTGGCCTCTTGTTGAGCTGCAAATTGTTAGACAAGTGAAGGCAGAAGAATAAGAAATGAAACATACAGATCTTCTCTGGGATTGCTCGGTACTGGGTGTGAGCTGTCTGTTTTGCGCTCTTTTCTTTCTCAATATCTTTCTACGGTAGAAGTTAGTATGAGGTGTGATGGAAGCAAGAGAGCTGTGCAAAATACCATTTCTCGCTCGGCCTGCTCGTGCTCTTCGCGTATCTTTAACACGGTAGCCCTCTCGGACTCAAGCTTTGCCTTGATGTCCTGCAGCTGTTCATTCCATAACGTGATATTCTCCTGGTGTTCACGTTTAAGAGAAACATCAACAGGCTGTTCGGTCCACACCTGAGCACGCTTGATCTCCCGAACCCGAGTTGACGTGGCGCCAGGCCCATATTCTCTACGCCGAGTCACTTGGTAGCTTCTTTTCCCAGATACCCAGGAGCTCAACAACCCCTCCTCCAAACGGGCAAACGCTTCATTTGAAATTTCACGTAGTCCGATAGGAGTCGAATGCAGGTTCTTCTCACTGCACAGCATGGCAATCACAGGATCGGGCCCGATCAGAAAATCCCTTGCCCAACCATCGAATCCCAATTGGGAAAGTTGATCATTAGACATCGGAGGCTTCATGCTATTTAATGACAGCGAGCAGGTGCGGATGCTAATATCATGGAGACCCAAGGTTTGGTTAATCGCATGTTGCAAGGTGCGAAAATCATTCTTCGTCTGCACGGTGAACGACGTGAAGTCTGTCTTCTGGAATAAAGACTCGACAGCATCGGCAAAGTTTGGGTCGGTGATTGAGCACGTAACAATTGGAGGGCCGAAGACTTCTTTTTCAAACTTGCTCTGGTTTTCAAGAAGCCATCTATAGGCTTTCAGCGTATCATAAGATGCTTTCTGCAACTTGACTTCTTGTTGGCCAGAGGCTGAATCCAAATTGCTCAGCTGGCGTTCGGCCTGCTGGATATTCCTTTGCACTTGCTGTTGCTGGTCCTGAAGGGGCTGCCTCCTGTCTTGGATTTCTCTGGCCTTTATCTCAAGCTCGCGTTTTTGGAGTCGTTTCTCTCTCTAGTGTTGTGATCAGCGCGCTGGTTCAAAGAATGGAGAAAGTAGGGTTTCTTACCAAGGACTCATTGTAAAATTCTGGGTCGAACTCCACGGCATCCTCTTCTTGTTGGCGTCGAAGTCTGTTAATAGCTTGCTGAGCCGATGCTCCTTCGGTTTTGTGCCTTGTACCACTCTTTCTTTCGGCCTCAATCTGATCATTGAGATCCTTGATCTTATTCTCAAATTCTTCGATTTTTTGAGCGCATGCACTAGCGACCCTGGATGCCTCGTCAACAGAATCTTTTCGGGTATCTTTTACGCCGTTCAATTGAGCGATGTAGGCCTCTTTAGCGTTGACCGCACGCAAAATGGGCTCGTTCTCCGCTTGAATCCGATGGTATTCTCGTTCAACTTCAGCTTTGATAACCTTCAGGGCCTCGACAGCATTGTGGTGTTCCTTGTACTCTACAATTGGGCGGCAACGCTCAAGGATCTCGATTTTCCGCTTGATACCGGCTCTCTGGCGCATTCTTTCAACATCGGCTCTTTGCATCTCTTGGCGATTCTCCATATTTTCCAGCAGTTCCTTGTCGCCACTGTTGTCCATCTCAAGTTTCTTTTGCTCGGCTCTTAGCCTCTTCAGGGCATCGTGCCACTGGGTCATTTCCGGGCCAGCTGCTGCTCTTTGCGTAGAATGTAGAAGCTCAATTGGTGTAAGTGCAGCAAACTCAGCGACTTTATCCTGAGGCAGGAACTGGCAGAGATTGTCTACCTGGATGGCAAACGACTGAGCCAGTTTCAGCACATCGTTCCTGGAAGCGGGGGATCCATTGAGTGTAAACGAGCTCTTATTTCCATCGCGCTTTATGATCCGCTGGATGATAGGATTGTCACGGGTCTTGGGCGGTCCGCATAGTTCAATCTCAATCATAGCCTCTCGGGCCCCATGCTTCACAAATTCGCCCAGGTCTTTGGCGCGTCCAAGATGCTAGAGATCGATGAGTGTCAGTATGTGGTGACTATGCAGTATTATAGTCCAAATCATACCTGAGGTCCCCATCCCAGGCCCAAGCAGATGGCACAGACCAGGGTGCTTTTGCCCGTTCCATTTGGGCCAATGACCATGTTGAGTTTTGGTCCAGGATGAAACTCTGCTGACGTGTAGGTCACGAAGTTCGTCACTTTGATCCGCACGATCGCGCCCGGCTTATAGCCACCGGGGCCAAGGCCATCGTGGGCTATCGCACGCGGGGCCTGAGAAACTGCTTCTGGTGTTTCGGACCCAGCGCTATCCTCATCGCTCTCTGCTTCACCTCCACCTTCGCTCTCTTCTCCAGAATCCGATCCGTCGTCGCTTCCAGCGGGGTTCAGGCGGGGGCGTTTATTGCTCGAGGGTTCGGTTGGGGGATCAAACGTCGCGTCTTTGCTTTCTTCATCCTCGCCGTGAGGTCGACGACGGGGAATACTGGGTGACGCCATGGTTGTCAGAACCCTCGAGTAGATGCTGAGGGAGCCTCATGGGTTATCTGTGAAATTCGCTTTGTCCGGGCTTTCTTTGTTAAATCAGACGCGAGGGAACGCGTGCGCGATCAATAGAAAGTCTAGTTTTAGTAGGCGGTGAGAACCTCAAAATGGCCAATTGGTTGCGACCAAACAGCTTCGACTTTGTATAGCACTCACCATGCCTCCTCCTAATATCAAGCGGTTAGTTTTGACTGCTGCGGTCGTGTCTATTACTATTACAGGCACTCTCTATGGGGCTGGCATTAAAACAAAGGAAGAAATTGCTGAGGTATGAGCGAATCCATTTAGACTGAAACTATCCGTTTAGCTCCAATTATGTCATTGGATATCATTTAACATTTAACGCTTTATGCAATATAGACAGCAAAGAAACGGCAAGAATCGACGTTTGATGAACAAACCAAAGCCCTCCAGAATATGCGCTCCAACTTGGTCGCCCGGAGAGGCATAATCGAGAACCAGATACGAGACTTGGATGCAAGGGTGTTGGAGAAACAACAGAAAGGCATCGGTGGTAGTGATAAAGATCAACCGAGTGGAGGACGATGAGCACTATGAATTCTTTGTCGAGCGGAGGCAACGCATGCACAACTACCGTTTAATGCGGGCCAACCCATCATGCAACCGGCACAATTTGATCCTCCGAAGGACCACCCACGACTTTCAATTCAAACACAAGGTGGCGACTATCGACTAGTTCGGCATGGTCTTAATTCCCATTAGCCATGCAACAACCTGCCTACCAAACCGGTTGCACTTGAAGGTGATCTTCGAGTCCCGCGTCCACGCAATCCCACCATGGCCTGTGAAGTCTGGAAACATTGGACTTGGTCCTATCTGTGGATTAGCTTTGATAAATTTGACTTATTCCTACTGAGGCAATATCAGTGTTCTCATGTACATAGCTTGGGGTACTAGTCAACTGACTTCTACTTCTATTGTTTATAGACAAAATATATCTTTTCCTCTCCTGCCCGGAGTCAGCAACATGTTTGTCACCATACACTTTCCACCAGAGAAAATCCGGCACTTCCAAGGTTGGACTGTAGTTACACATAGAAAAATGTGCAAAACATGCCTGGTGTCAAATAGTAATCAACTCATAGGCCAGGAGACGCTGTTGATCGACCGATTTGGAGGCCAGTGGCGAACCCCGAAATGTCTAAGCCTCAAGGTTGAGTCTCTCCAACAAATCATCTAGTTTCTCAAGCAAGATCTCGTAGTTCATCGCATCTTCAGAGAATTCATCCTCGACAACTGCCCCGTCCAGTGTTCGAATCTCCGGGGCATGGCCATGACTGTGGATAGCCTCCTTGGAAACACCCAAGTTCTGGACACCTTCTGTAATTTTTATGACGTCTTCCAGCTGCTCATCTTCGTCAAGATCTTCCGATGTTTCTCCTTCATCCATCATTTCATCCAGACCAGCCTCATCAAATCTCAGTCTAAAGCGCTCTCCAAGATAGAACCGGATATCATCCAGCATTTCAATGGAATCGGTTTCCTGTCGCGCCTTGATACGAGATGCTGATTCCTGGATCAACTCCGCAAATTCTGGGGTATCTATATGTGCTTCCAGTCGATATGCGAGATACCGAGCAGCGAATTCTTCCAATCGCTGCACGCGCGTCAACCACGCAGCTCGAACGATTGAGTAAATGTCAATGTCGTCTTCGTGCGCTATACCCCGAGTTCTTGCAGCCTCTGACTGGGACATTCCAGCACTGCCGAGGGTGCTGATGACCACGGCGGCTTTCGTCTTCAGCTTCTCAATGAAGAGCATATCTGCGGCGAACAAGACATCAACAGCTATCTCTAAGGGGAAATCGGCTCTTTCGGTATATAAGAATGTAAGAATAATTTCCAAGACCTCGGGCGAACAATTGACGTCAATGATCGTCAGATTCTCATTGAGGTAAGCTTCGCGAAAGGTGGATGTGAACATTGCCTGGAAAAACTCAGATCGCAAAAGCATTGCTCGATGACATGGGAAGATGACTGATTTCGGCGCCTCGAGAGTCTTCTCATCCGTGGTAGAGATAGGGCCAATGGGAATCGAACTGGATGTGCCATTGCTGACCTCTGGTGTGTCAGTGTCCGCTTCCTCCTCTTCCTCAGGGAGTTCATCCGCCCTCAGAAGAACATCAGCGAAAATAGCATTTGCTCGATTCCACTTCACTTCGTTCACTTTCGAAGTCTCTACCTCAAGCTTGTTCCCCAGAATATTCTCCTGGAACCATTGTTCCATTTGATCTCGGCCTTTGGAAATATCGTCGGTTCTTCTTTGTCTGGCACGTCTCCTGTCTCCGCTATCAAGGATACTATCTAAAAGACTGGGGATATCCAAGTATTCGGAAATTCTATCCACCCCTGCAAAAGTCTCGGACTCCGTGAAGCCTGTCCCCGGTCCACTTCTCAAGTCCCGGGGAGCTTCTCCAAAGTATAGGTATTTGACAGCGGCGCTGAATGCTTCCGGAGGAATGGTACTGGGGAGCTCCGATGTTGCAGATTCCGGTGCCTCGGCTAGTTTGCCATGGAAATATGGAGAGCGTGCCGCGAGGATGAATTTGTGGAGGTGAAGCGGCTTGTCGCCTGCAGTCACAATAATATCTGTTGTTACTGGGGACTCCCGGGTGAGAAGCGAAGTTATATGCGCAGCCAGGGGCTGGAGGGGGTCCGTGGACTTGGAAAAGTCATATTCAAGGAGGAGGTTTCGTATCCGGTCGTTTAGGGCATTATAGAGACATCTATAGAACCACCATCGTTAATTCTAGTCATTCACGCTCAATAGAGTGCCAATTGCTGTTTACCTTTCACCCTGAAATGTATCTCGCTCACAAATTGCACCAGACTCGAGAAGAAGTTGCGCAACTTCGAAATGACCACAGAGACTCGCCTTCCAGGTTCATTGGTTATTATGTGGTACGGATTGGAACGGTCGGTTTATCAATATATGTACTCACCAGTATCAATGGCGTGTAATCATAGGGATCACGAGCATTAACATTGACACCCTCGGTGATTTTCTCCTGACAGACTTTCAAATCGCCCTGACGACATGCGCTGCATAGTTCACGGAATGGCTCACTGAGATCTAAAGGGTTATCATCCTTAATAGTGCCATCCTTAATCAATTTCTGCTCATTGACTAAGCTGATCTCCAGCTGATCCTTCCGCAACACAGTTGGCTCATCCATCATGCAGGTTGCCAGGCACAACAGGTCGAAGTGGGATGAGACGGCAAACGGAGGGGCGGAAGGCTTATCGATAAAGAGCACGTGATTATGCAGTGCGGTCTGAAATTAAGGGGAGTTTTATATAGATATTTAGCATAGCTATACAGTGATATGAAGGTATGGAAGTATACAGAGAGAGATACATATATATATATTCATGTATACAAGTACACATACTAATTCCCACTTCATAATTGAACCAACGTCATTCGGTGTTTTTCCTTCCGACCGTTTGATCGACCTTCCCCACCGCCTGCTAGGTTCGGGAAAGCGCAATAACCACCGTTGCATAGCAACGATCACCCAAACACCCATCTTCAAAGCTCCAATTCATATTGCCTTACTCCTCCTCAAATCTTCAATTTCGCAGCTCGACTCTTTTTTTTACTAACACAGGTTCTTGTTTCATATTCATGCATCATTGACTCTCTGATTCTTCTGGATCGTCTTCACTTTATTGTCCCTAACTCTACAGCAATCTATAGCCATGGCGATTGCTTTGGCTGAGGCCGATAAGTATGAGATTTTGGACAAAATTGGTATGTTCAGTCTTGGTCGCCCAATTCATATCCAATACCTTCAAAGCTAATCATATATATTCATTCAGGTTGCGGTTCCTTCGGGATCATTCGCAAAGTCAAGCGGAAGTCAGATGGATTCGTAAGTGTAGTGCATTGGTGGCATCTTGCAACCGGAACTAACCTCAATTTGCTCATAGATCCTTTGCCGCAAGGAAATCAACTACATCAAAATGTCCCAGAAAGAACGCGAACAACTCACTGCCGAGTTCAACATTTTGAGTTCCCTTCGTCACCCAAACATTGTCGCATACTATCACCGGGAACACCTCAAGGCCAGTCAAGACCTGTATCTTTACATGGAGTACTGCGGTGGTGGAGATCTAGGCATGGTTATCAAGAACTTGAAGAAGGCCAACAAGTACGCCGAAGAGGAGTTTGTTTGGCGCATTCTCTCTCAGCTTGTCACTGCTTTGTTCCGGTGTCACTATGGCTCTGATCCCGCCGAGGTCGGATCGAACATTCTAGGTCCAGCTCCCAAGCCATCGGGTCTCAAGGGAAAACAGGGACAAGTCACTATCTTGCATCGCGACCTGAAGCCCGAAAACATCTTCCTCGGTAGCGACAACACTGTCAAGCTTGGCGATTTCGGCTTGTCCAAGCAAATGCAATCTCACGACTTTGCATCAACTTACGTTGGCACACCTTTCTACATGTCGCCGGAAATCTGTGCGGCTGAAAAATACACCTTGCGCTCCGATATTTGGGCGGTCGGCTGCATCATGTACGAGCTCTGCCAGAAGGAGCCCCCTTTCAACGCTCGCACCCACATTCAACTTGTTCAAAAGATTCGCGAGGGAAAGTTTGCGCCCTTGCCTGATTACTATTCGCCAGAGCTCAAGAACGTTATTGGAAGCTGTTTGCGGGTCAATCCCGATCACCGCCCCGATACTTCCGCTCTGATTCATCTTCCTATCATTCGCTTGATGCGTAAAGAGAAAGAGGTTGTTGACCTCGGAAAGACTCTGCGCCGACGTGAGGAGGTTGCTGTTCATAAAGTCCGCGAAATGGAACAGAATCTTGCCAAGAGAGAAGTGGAAAAGCAACATATCAAGGCCGAGATTGAAAATACCGTTCGACGGGAGTGGGAGGTCAAGGCCCGCTTGGAAATTGATCGCCAGGTGCAAAGTGAACTCGAGCGACTCCGCAAGCGATTTGAGTCCGAAGTGCAAGAAAGGGTTGCCATTGAGGTCAAGAAGTACAAGCACAACACATCCAACAGCAATACCTCCCGAGATGATGTATTTCGCACCAGTACCACCGGATCTGGATCTGGATCTGGGTCCTCTCGCTCCAGCAATCAAGGCTGGCGGTCTTCTCGGTCTTCTGCCAACATGACAGACGACAACGATACTACGCCCTCATCAACCACCGATATTAGCCAGCTTTCTCTTGGCTCTCCTCCATCAAATGCCCGAAAGCAGCCCAAGAAAGAGACACGAACACCATTTTGCCGGTCCAAGACCGTTGTTGATTCACCGGTGGATGTTCAAATGGCTGAGCCGTCACCAATTTCAATTGCTTCGCTTTCCCTGTCCCCTCGCCGCACTTCCGCCCAAGGAGGCGCTCGCAACATCTTTGCAGAGGCCGAGCGGAACAAGGCTAAGTGGGAGCCCACTCTGGCCTACTCCGACGATGAGGATGACACCCCCGATTTGCCCTCGCCCACTCGACCCAAGGTGAAGCCTGACCCATTGAAGGCGCCTCGACGACCTCTACTTCGTCAGAATACCGCGGCTCTCATGCAGAAACTTAGCACCCAGCCTTCCCTATTCCCTTCGAGCGGTACTCGCCTTCCTCAATCGACGAGCGCATCTACTTCCCAGTCTGAAGAGCGCAGTGCAAGTGAGAGCAGAGCGAGATCTCCCCACCGTCGTCTAACTAAAATCCCATCATCCGCCAACCTCGCTGCCGATGCGGGCACATCACCAACTCGCAAGAGTGGTTCGAAGCAACCTCCTCCTACTAAGAATGGGGGTGGCGGCGAAGAGATGTTCAAGGCCGTTATGCAACGCAACATGGGCGGCCGCACTCTGGTCGAACTCGCACAGGCGAGAGCTGGAGGCCGTCCGATGGATGAAGTCAAGCGTTGTGCCAGTGACTCGCGCGCTGGCGGTCCTACCATGAGCGTTAAATGCTCTGAACGTGATTCTCCTGCTATCTGGAACCCTGAACTGGATGAGATGCCCAGTCCCTTCCTTGCCCGTGGCAAAAAGGTTATCCGCAACCTGCGGTAGTCTTTCACTCAGATGAAATTTCCTATGCATTTACTTTGTTCTTTCGGATTGGGTTGGTTTTCGGTTTTCTTATGGCGCTTTGGTGTGACTGGAGTTGGTTCTGGTTTGGTTTTTCTTCTTTTTTTTCTTTCCCTGGATTTGGATTTGGATTTGGATAATTTGGTTTCTTTGGAAGCCCTCAGTTCCTATTGTTGCCCACCGTTTTGGGGTTTCGCACTTCGCTTCTTGCGCATACTTTCCCACTATGTCAGGAGTTGGCCCTAATGTTTTCGGTGCATCCTTGCCACATGCAAGACACGGAGTTTGATACACATGCCTATGGCCCGTCCGTGGCTTTTTGCCTTCGTTGGCTACACACTTGCCTCCCCGACTCGACTCTTTACTACTTTTCTTTTGTTGTTTATGCCGTCATGCCCCTTTCCTTCAACGAAGGAGACGATTCAGTTTTGTACATTTATTTGCATTAGCCATGCATTGACTGTTGAATTTTTGTATTTTGCTTCCTTCAACGTTTAATCTATTGCTCGTCGTATCCTCGTCCATCACAAATATATTTCTTTGTGGTCATATTGGACTAATATATGCTATGCCTCCCATTCAGAAGTACTTTACCCTACTTCTCGTTTGGGTAATCTTTCTCGGCCATATTCTCTACGCTCATTGCATTTTGATGCTTCAGGGTCACATGTGTGGAGTTTTGGTGCTGCAATACTTCGATATTGAATGTACATACCAATCTCCATAAGAAACGAACATGTCCATGTCATTCCAGACTTGTAGTTGGGTTGTAGAAGATTATACTGACTTCCTAAGTGTCTCAAGTCGAGTCGTCTGCATTATTAGCCCTAATATGAATGACCGATACACTAACCACCTTTCGGACTTATAGGTACACGGAATACAAAGTATGCACATATGATCGAAATCTGTAGCACGATACTGTGCATCACGTTTAATCAATCATTTTATTCAAAAGGTCGGATATTAAGCCCACGCCTCCTCATCTTCGACCTCTTCTATCTGAACATGCTTACGCTGTTCTTGGTTAAAACGTCGCTCCTCTTCTTCTAACGTCAACATCCAATCCTCCTGTTCCTCCTGTTCCTCCTGTGGCGAATTGCTAGCCTGTGCTTCCGGGGCAGGGCCGGCATTATACCCAGCTTTCTCAAGCTTATCCATCTCTTCCGGTTCCAACAATTTCCCCTGTCCCTTGATTGACTGCTGTTTCATCCTGACCGCAGCCGGAACAAACTTCTTGGTTGCCTCCTGTCGCAAGTCCCGGATCTGAGGCTTCGCTTCGTAAACAGTCTTGGCCACTGGAACCGCCGTTGGACGAGATGGCAGCGGATGAGGACCAGTACGCTCAACATTCTGTTCTGAAGGTACATTTCCATCTCGTCTGCGCTGCTGCTGGCGCGGGATTGGTGGCGGTGTATCGCGCGGCATGGGTATCCTTCTCACATCTTCATCCGTATCACTGCTGTCACTATCACGAGGCATTCGTGTCTCATCTGCGCCTCGCCTCCGCTTCCCAAGCACGCCATCGCCACCACCCCGTCTAGCACCATCATGCTGGTAGCCTCCTCTGCCGCCCTGATCGAACCGGGGTGCCTTGTCGCCAAGAGCTTCGCGCGCTTTCAAAACACCTCTCAAATCCTTCTCCAGTGCTTCGAGGAGCTCCTTATCGCGTGGTCGTAGTTTTTGTCCTGATTCCTCAGCTTCTTTGAAGCTGTTGATTTGGCGCTGGATTCGATCTGGGTTGCGCCGCGCAAGTTTCTCGTTTCGCCGCGCTAGTGCCTCTGCTTTCCCTTTCTTCAACTCTTTTTGTTTATCTTGTTTCCGCTGCGCGGCCGCTGGGTTGACCGAGCGCTCTTTGTCTTTGGCCATGACGTCGTGTTGGTGTTGGTGTTGGGATTGGTGTGTGGGTCGTCTGTAATAATTGGTATGGCGTAATCTAGCTGCGGAAGCTGATAAATTCCACGAGCTCTTGTCGAATCAATTCCGCAAATTAGGCACCGGCAGGAACGTCTAGGCTCTGTGGTGTCGCACGTGAAGTGTATGGTTGGAAACAAGGGTTCAAGGCGCAGGTAGAAAAGAGAGCGCGCAATGAGAAAACCGGGTTTGACTAGCTTGCAGAATGACTGGCGATCAGTGCGTTAGGTCGCCTCGACTGGATCGATCGCGTCGGGCCGTCAGGTCGAGACTGCAGGTGTCGGGATTGGGATTGGATGATGCTTCACAGGTCGAATGCGAGTAAACCCTATGAACAAGCGGTGTGTCAAGTAAAACCGTGGGTTTCAACCTCACAATCTAGGCAGGTAAGGTTTGAGTGTAGTAGAGGAAAGAAGTTGAAGTTAAAAGTACAGAGCGGTGCAGTGACCACGGAAGACTTCCAAGGCTAAGTGGATATTTTTGGTTGGCAGAAAATGAGCTGACTAGTCACATACACATATTGAAGGCGGAGAAAGAAACGGTGTACTCAATAGCCAATAAAGGTTAAGTTCCAAATGGTCGCTACCGTTTTCCGTAGAGACACTAAGTGGAGTGATAGAGAGCTAGGTATCCATGGTTCAGGACTGGAACTACAACGACATACATGCATCTATATTGATCTATATGTATTTACTTATATTCAAGAGATCATTGATGGAATGTTCATTATTCTTGCATATATATATATGTAAAGTTGTGAATACTGCTCTTGATTCTCTTATATATTTATGGTAAGCATACTGCAGAGCCTCTTGGTCCTCCCACATTGAGATAGGTGCAGAGCCCAGCATCTAGCCTCGCAGTATGCAATATAAACCAGAATCGAAGCAGTACTTAGATGAAACTAAAGAAAACATCACAAAACATCAAAACAAGAAGTACATAATGCACTAAATATTGCTTTTTCTTGATTTTCGTTCCATCTTCAAGCCCCTCTTTATGGGGAGGTCCGAGGTATCATATTTCCGCCTGAGCCTGTGCTCCAGAACATATAAAAGAGAAATCTCACTAGCTTCTTCGACGGGGAGCGTAACTGGCTTCCCTCGAGCCGCGCGCTGTTTAGTTGCCGCCAAACTCTCAGCGGCTCACGCCTTCTTTCTCCGCCTCTTTTTTCCTTTTTGATTTCTCCTCATGAGGGAAAAAAAGAAGCTCCCCTCCCCTCTTTAGTCGTCAATAGTCGCATTCCCCGGTTTGACTGCAGTATATCGCAACCCATCTTCTCTACACCTTCCATCCTCCATCATGACCTGTGGTCCGTTTGGTCTCACATCGAGTTTGATCGGCGCATAGTAGACTGTCGCGGTCGGAGCATGTCTCTGCCGGGACCAAATGTCCGTCTCAGCCTCGATTCCCGATACTTCGCTTGGCCTCACCTCTTCCGAGATCCAGATTCTCCGACAGCAGCAACAGATTGCCCTGCAGGGTGGCCACGCCGGCAGTGGGGTGGCCAGGGGCAGAGGCACCGGAAGAACCAGCAATTCCAGCTCGCGCGCAACCAGCGCTGCCAGCAGCCAGGGCCGTTTGCTGCTCGACCCTATGAGTCTTCGCGCATTATCGCACCAGCTGGACGATTTGCAGGCTCGGATCAGTCACCAGATCGAATATGTATGTTACCCCCCGCGGCTCTTGGCCGCATGTCCATATCACCGGGAAATCGCATTTGCGTTAACATGAGATATCCTTGATAGCTCGAGGATCAAATGCAGCGCTCCATCCAAAACACCTACGACCGCGCGGGAAACGTCATTCGAAATGCCGATGCCGAAATTGCCCGCACCCGTGAAATACTAGCCTCCATCGACGATTTGGACAATGAGTTGGCGAAGATCGCTCATATCCGTGATATCGTCAAGTCCTTCCGTGGCCGGATCGAGAACCTAGATCACCGCATTGACCAGAGTTCTCGGCGCCGACGGTGATGCCTGCCCATATACACCCCCTCCATATACTTTCTTCGAATCCACACCTATCTTGAAGCGCTCCGAAAGACCGTGCACGGTCATGCGCTCTGCACATCTCACTTTTACTCGACTACTGGATGGTCCGACCGATACACACTTATATTCTCTCCACACAAGTACTCGAACCAGAACATATCAAAGCCGACAGAACAAAAGAAAACAAAAAACTATATACCGAATGTGTCCTCACGGACTCTTTTCTCGAATGCGCGTCAGACCCCGTATCCATATATGTCACATTTCATTGGTCTGGGTATCTGCTTTATGAAACAATTGGCTGAAAGAGCTGCATGCCGCGAGGTATCACCGAGGTGAGACTCTGCTGTTGAGTATGCGACCTTGAAGGACTATAGTATTTTCACGACTGCTTGGGCTATGCCGATAACGGCCATGGCAAACTCGGGTTTCACCCGGTACTGGAAATCCATGAAATTTGATGACTATCATGAAGGATTTTTAATGTTTCAAGCGCATAAACACGATTGATCTTTGTGTCTTCTTGTTTGATTTGATACTTCTGCTATTTCTCCTGTTGTTTCGATTCCCCTCTCTGCATGTTGCGTGTACATTGCTCTGGGTTTCTTTCTTTTTTTTTTTTTTTGCGTTGATATTGGCCCATGTCCATCGCTGGGATGATTATAGCTTGGCTTACGGTGCTCTGCAATATAATTGGGAACAATTTCTTCAAAATGATTGGGTCGTACGTTGCATTGCGTTGGTTCCTCAAAGGTTGGCATGAACATTCAAATATCGAGATCTGGATTTGAATACCAAGCAGTTCGTCAATGTGGTCACTGCAGGTTTATTGAGGCTGCTGGCGGACTTTGAGACCTATTTCGGCGATGAGGGAGGACATGGCTACCCTGGTTGGATGGAAACACCGGCCATTGTAGCTGAGAGCACATCGTAAAAGCCGACCAAAGGTATAGTCGACGGCCTCCCCCAAGACGCCTTTGTTCATGTCGTTGCTATCGCAAAAGTGAGTGCAATGGCGTTTCGATGCGTCCACCCTGAAAGTGTAACCGCACTGGTTTTGTGTTCCGCATGACACGAGAGGATGTACAGGGTGCAGGATTCCGCGGGAGAAGTAGCCCACACGTAGATAAATTTGCCGGGTGCTATTCATGTCGCTGGAACATCCATAGCATCCAACATCGTCACGTCCTCACATAATTTGACTGGTTCTCCTTGCGACGCCGCCAAGGTATCAACATTTGGTGCATTCAAATCGCGTAACGAGGCCGAATCTTTCTCTTTGCGACGCTGAACGAGCTTTTTCCCACGTTTCTCCGTCTGGGGGAATCGCTTTTCAGTCCCGCATGAGAGGCACTTGACGACTAGTACATCGGCCCATGGCTTCTTGCCGCCGCGACTTGCATTTTCGGTTTCATGAGAGCAAGTCACTCCCGGTATGAGGAGTATATCACAGCGCTTGCAAACTGATCTCTTCAATGTGACTGGAAGCCGAATCTGTGTTTTCATTGCAACGGCGCGTAGATGTGATACACATACCCTTGAGAGGTTCCTCAATGGCTCTTGAGTCTTTTTTTGATTCACGGAGCAGACTTGTTGTTTGGTATCTAGCGTATGGCCATCCTCCCCTGAGCTAACATGACTAGTAACTGAGTTGTGTTCATTGTTGTGGACTTGGGCGTTCTGATCCTTGACGTGTGTAGATTTGCCCTGGAAATATGCAGCGGCTTGGTGTAGATAATCCAGCCGCGCTCGAATATGGCTCTGAGAATTCTTGGAATTTTTAGCTTCCTTCTTTCCTTTTACTTTTGCCATCTCGAACATTCGACAGATCAACAAGTGGATCTCAAGATTCCAGTTTGCTGCGACCTGCAATTCGAGAAAAGCTTCCCTTTGACGCTAGACCGAAAGCGGTGAGGCTGAATAACCACGTGATACTCCCTTGGTGAGGTCTTCCTCCTACCGCCTTGTGACTTCTTCCCCTGCGCACCTTTGTTATCGAGACCTGCCACACCACGGTCCATAATCTTCTCTTACTATCTTTGTCTTCTCTTCACTTCATCCCCCGCATCAACTCTCCCTCTCTCTCAATACTTTTATCTTTCTTCTCCCTCAACCTATTCACGCCGTCATGTCTCACGAGGAGGATCTTATCGACTACTCTGATGAGGAGCTTCAGACCACCACAGCACCGGCCACCACTGCTGCGCCTACCGCCACCAATGGCGATGCCGACAAGCAGGGCGACTTGACTGTAACCGGTGGCCGTCCCGACAAGAAGGGCAGCTACGTCGGTATCCACTCTACCGGTTTCCGCGACTTCCTGCTGAAGGGTGAACTTCTGCGCGCCATTACCGACTGCGGCTTCGAACATCCATCGGAGGGTTAGTTTAACTCATTATTCCCACAAGCGTTCCTCCATTTCTTCAATCTCCAACGTCCGTCCATCCTCGCGGGAAGATTCTTCTGTCGGTTTTTGGGAATCAGTCGTGTTTCGAATCTGCAGACGACATGAGGATTATTGCTCCTGAAAATGGACAATATCTCTCACAATATATATGCGTTTGGTCATGTGCCGCTCTTGCGCTAAGCCCGAGCCTCCGTCCCCCAACTCCCACGTAATTCGTGGAGATTGGTGCACGCGATGGAAGACTGTGATATTTATCACGTTTGTCTCCTTGTGAGACGCACCTCATGTTGTCTGCAGAATATGATAGGATATCCACAAAAAGCATGACTTTTGGATGTGATATACAGTCATGGTGGTTTGATCAAGCGGTGGAAGATGACCGCCCACGCATCAATTTGATGTTGTCGGGGGGATGGACGGACATTGCGAGACGAATATTTTTTTGCTGCTTATTTCGTCGAACCCAATCTAACATCGGCTCCGCCTTCCAACAGTCCAACAAGTTTGCATTCCGACCTCGATCTTGAACGTCGATGTTCTTTGCCAGGCCAAGTCCGGTCTCGGTAAGACCGCTGTCTTCGTTCTCACCACCCTTCACCAATTGGAGCCCGTTCCTGGCGAGTGCCAGATCCTGGTCATGTGCCACACCCGTGAGCTTGCTTATCAGATCAAGAACGAGTACGCCCGTTTCTCGAAGTACCTGCCCGACGTTAAGACTGCAGTCTTCTACGGTGGTACCCCTATCCAGAAAGATGTCGAACTCCTGTCCAACAAGGAGACCCACCCCAACATTGTGGTCGCCACTCCCGGTCGTCTGAACGCCCTGGTCCGTGACAAGAAATTGTCTCTGCGCAACGTGAAGGCCTTTGTTCTCGACGAGTGTGACAAGATGCTTGACCAGATTGGTACGTACATGCGAGATACGACTCGAGTATCACCTCCCACTAATACCCTCCCTCAGACATGCGCCGTGATGTCCAGGAAATCTTCCGTGCTACCCCCGCCGATAAGCAGGTCATGATGTTCAGTGCCACCCTCTCCCAGGAGATTCGCCCCATCTGCAAGAAGTTCATGCGCAACCCGCTGGAGGTCTATGTCGATGATGATACCAAGCTCACCCTCCACGGATTGCAGCAGTACTACATCAAGCTCGATGAGAAGGAGAAGAACCGCAAGCTGAATGAGCTTTTGGACAACCTGGAGTTCAACCAGGTGATCATTTTCGTTAAGAGCACCCAGCGTGCTAACGAGCTCGACAAGCTGTTGCGCGAGTGCAACTTCCCCAGTATTGCAGTTCACTCTGGTGTCAGCCAGGAGGAGCGGTAAGTTCGTCCGAATTCGGTATTGGCTGCAGCAATTTGCTGACCTCCATCTAGTATCAAGCGCTACAAGGAATTCAAGGAGTTCAACAAGCGTATTTGTGTTGCCACTGATGTCTTCGGCCGTGGTATTGATATCGAGCGCATTAACCTCGCCATCAACTATGATCTCCCCGCCGATGCTGACTCTTACCTGCACCGTGTTGGTCGTGCCGGCCGTTTCGGTACCAAGGGTCTTTCTATCTCCTTTGTCAGCAACGAGGATGACGAGAAGGTTCTTAAGGAGATTGAGAAGCGCTTCGAGGTTGCCCTTCCGTAAGTTTCCTTCCATTCTACACCATAATCCCCTTTGGCAAAAGGCTAACCATGTTCACAGTGAGTACCCCGAGGCTGGTGTCGACTCCACCACCTACATGGCTTAGACCTATCTAGGTGAAAACTTTGTTGATGTGAAATTTCTTTTTCTCTTTCCAATTGTTATGGCGCAATAGCTCGGGTTTTGATATGTTTTTCTCCGCCGTTGGGCCCTACCTCTGCCCCCCCGTGGGTTTGAAGTGAGGCACAGCCCTTCTATGTATTCGAAAACAGCAATGGAAGCAAGAATGGGTTAGCCCTGCACGACTGTTCAACTGTATCCTGACCGTATCCTGACGGAAACCTTGGGGTCTCAATGTGGAGTTGTGATGTCATAGCTATCGACGTCTGCGAGACAACTCAAAGCCGAAGACAATCAGATAGAAATATGCACCGCCCTGCGGTCGTGGTTTCCAATCAGACGACTCGAAGACCCTGCCAAGCCAGCTAGATTGAATAAAGACACCCAAATTCAATCTCCGATCATATGTGTTTGTCGTGATTTGCCCTTGTCTGTCGGAGCCGGTCCACCTGTAGCTCTTAGGACCCCAGAAATAACCTCCCACCATACAGTGTACCACGAGCTGAATGTATGTAGTTAGGGGTCGCAGTTCCGATTTGACTTGCAGAGTCTTTGTACCTAGGTAGTTAGCATGATCATCTTTTACGTGACGATTTTGTCAACAACGCGATTTGTACAGATTCGAAGCACCATGTTGATCTAACAACACATTATCAGGTCGCAACAGCCGATATAGCAAATCTTCAAGCCAAGCCAAAAAAGAAGAAAAACAGCCTTTTGTCGTCGCCCGCTCGAAAAGCCCATAGCAAATTTCTGAAGACCCCAAGACAACCCGAATCTACTGTGATATACGTACTATTCTTGTTCAACGTATATACAGCCAGTCGTTGTATGTAATGCTGATTTACAAGTTCAGTATGTATCAGTATCAAGATTTGCAAAATAAATGTTTCCCCTGCATGCTGCAGGGAAATGACAGCAGTTAAGCTGAACACACGGCAGGGAAATTGGGATATTCTTGAGAAGCAAGATATGAATGCATGGATGATCCCGTATAATTGTCAAGGATCAAGTTTTTCATTTTGCTACTCTGTAGTATACTGTGCTTGATGTTATGAGTCATATATATATCTTCGAATATGAAATATATGTACAACGTACAACATACAGTCGTTAACCGTAACACCGAGAAACTAAAAAATATCAAGCATAAATAAAGCCCATAAAAAGAACTGAAATATAGAATGCAGTTACCTAATGCAGTAACCTGTTGGAGGCAAAGTGGCTTAGCCCAAAGCACTAGAAAGATGGAAAGACACCGGGTAGCGCATCACCCTCAAAAACCTTGTCTTGAGTTTTCAGTGTGTCCACTTGTCCACTAGGGGGCTGTCTTGCTCTAGCGCTCTTGTCGTGAGTGGCTCTGTGTCAGTTTGATCACGAAGGCGTGCAGAGTCTGCATTTACGTGATTTGAATATTCAGATTGACAACATACGGTGCATAGAATATACACATGATTGTACCAAGTACAAATTACAACATATGTAGCTGTCTATCTGAACTCCACTAGCCCAATCAACTAGACACAATGAGAAATAGCGTTGAGACATGGTCGATCAAAAAATATGATAGGCCAATGGCCGTGCACTGATACGATCGAGCTTGCATCAGTACGTACGGAGTACGGAGTATTTTCTGTATTCACAATTCCACCAATTTTCTCTCCTTTTTGTACATCCGCGAAGTTCCGAAGCCCCGAGAGAAAGAAGTGCACTCTAGGCTTTATCGACCCCAGGGGACCACTTGGAGCCACAGTGAGATTAATTTAGTTTCAGTGAGACGAGGCTTTCCCGATTAATTTATGGTAAAACGTGATATCTAAAATCTCCAGCCCAATTATATCCCACTGTCGGCCGTCCTGGGGCGTAGTCATGACATCTGTGGCTTCCCCTAACGCCATAAAATTCAATCATTCCAAGCCTTAAGATTGTGGCTGAGGCAGGATACTTATGAAACTCTTATATTGAGAAGATCTGTTTTCGGTCTCCGCAATCGTTATCGCCACCTGGGCAACTGTCGGCATGACAATAACATCTGAATGTGTGTACCTGGTAAGAAAATATAATTTGAATGCTATTTAGTTCTATCTATTCCCGGCTCCGAGCAAAAAGAGAGGTGTCGAATATTGTGGTTCCACCTGCACAACGGGCTATTATTTGTATAGATTTATTTTATTTATTATTATGTTGCATGTTGATTTCCCCAGAAAGTCTGGACTGGTTCCAAGTGACCTGCACATATGTGACTGATCAGTAGCAATTTTATGGGCCGGAACAGCAGGGAAACACAGCCAAGTTCTACATTGCTTGCATCTCGTCCTTTGAGCCAATAAATACTATGTTATCAGATTAAGTCGAAAATCCCCGATATCAGAAAGATTCTTGGGATCCCTTGCGGTCGCTGCAAACATCGGCACGCGCATCACTTTGGTATGCTGGGATTATCAACACCCCTTCTAAGGTATGTGGATGGTCGATCCTAAATATCCCTTGTAATTGTATCAGCCTCCTATCTTATGCAGCTACTGATCTCGCATAGGTTTAAACGAGTCTAAAGTGATCTCAAAAAAAATCTGTGTCCAAGTATCGAGTTTGATGCACTTTATTTTTATTTTCCACTTTGTATCACTAGAAATATAACATTCTTTGCAAGGTCCAAGGGAATGTGGTGGGGAAGAAGACGTTTAACCCCTCTTATGGTTCCAAGTGATACAACATACAGTACACAATGACCGGCCAATTTCCTGTGTACAGCCCAGTTGTCAATTGGATGTCGATCAGGGATACAAAATTGATGCGTTCGTCTGCATGTGTGGTTCAGGTACCGTATACTCTGCACACAGGGATTTAAGAGGAGCTGAACTAGATCAGGAATGATTTAAAGAATGTGCCGTTTATGCCCAATATGTTATGATATTAGTTTACTTTAGGTCTAGAGAACCGGAAGATAAACCCGTTCACGTTTACAAAAGTCCGTTGGCATATATACATATGTACTTGATTGCTTAACGTTCGTCCTGGCTGAAATAGGGTTGGGGTGGAGGTAGATGACGAGACCAGAGACGCATACGCGTCGATGAACATCCCCAGAACTTCGAAAGAGCAGAGATCGAGGCTAATCAAAATTTAAAATTACAGTATTACACTGTAATATAAAACAAGTATCGGAAGAAGAAACTAAGTTTAAATATAGTATCAGGCTATCAAGGCAATATGTAATGTGCCCAACTCTCACCTCTAGAAGATTATAATTGAATATAATTGAAATGTATATCTGACTATCTAAGCTCTCGGTGTCTTTACATATCTATGAGAGAAAAATTTTCGTCTCTATTATTCCATGTATTGGAGCCGCAAAATGACTAGATGATGTGGAGGCTAGACCCCTACGGAGTAGAGAATGGCCATAAGTGTATCAACAAAAATAGAGTAAAAAAAAAGATCGAAAGAACTGCATCCATCGATTTTGCACTTCAAATATTCTTATCGTTCCTTGATTTCCGTTTTCGGAGGATCTATTGAAGGCTTACAAGTTTATCAAGGAGGAAAACAAAAAAAAAAGACCGATCGCATTCAACCGTTTTTACTCTCTTTTTTTCTTTCTAAAGCGTGAAGTCCAGAGACAAGAGACAGAGAGAAGATACGGCAAAAAAAAAAAAAGAAACTTGAACGTGGAACAACCCTGTCTCTTTTTCTCCCTCCTCCCTCCCCCCGGTCTAAACTTCCATTTGCATTTCATCCTTCACAACTCTCCTTCCCTCTTTTTTTCTTTTTTTGTCTCTTCCCTTCTTCACTCACCCTTTCTTTTCCTTCAATCTCGTTTCCCTGGGAATCTGGACCTTTCGACCTGGGACTTTCCCACCCAGTTCCTTCCAGATTTGAGAGATGGCTCCTCCTCCACGTCTGCGCATTCTGTCCGGTGAGTTCTTCAATCTCCTCAGATCTTGACCGGGATATTACAGAAATGGGTCGTTATCTAACCAAAGCCTGTGTAGTCGGTGGCAACGCAATCTCAGCTTTTCTCTCATGGCGACTTCAGGCAACAACCTCCTGTGACGTTACGCTAGTCTGGAAATCCGGATTTGATGCCGTGTCTCAATACGGTATCTCATTTAAGTATGTATTCAGGCTCTTGTGTCACAGCCAGATGGCTAATTCCGTCCGCAGATCAAAAGCATTCGGCAACGAACGATTCAAACCCCGGCATGGTGAGATTCGGATTTCCACCCTCGGAGCCCTGGCCAGAGCCTCCCGGCTGACTTGTCTCGATTTCTAGTTGTTCGTGCTCCCGAAGAAGCCTCATCCCGTGAAAACGCCTACGACTATGTCATTCTCTGCGTGAAAGCCTTGCCGGATGTATACGACCTTGCTTCTGTGATTGAATCTGTCGTCACTCCCCAGCACACCTGTATTCTGGTGAATACCACAAATACTCTTGGCATTGAAGCCCATCTTGAGCAAAGATACCCTACCAACGTCATCCTTTCTCTGGTTTCCAACGTGGAAATCTCTCAAACCGGTCCCAGCGACTTTGAACATCTGAGCTCGAGCGAGATTTACGTGGGCGCAACCAACAAATCTTCCTCCATCCCGACCTCAATCCAGAACGACATGGCGGCGGCATTGTCAATGACTTTAAATTCTGGTCAGGTCGACTGCAAGGTTTCGGATAATATCAGACAGGAGCAGTTCGAACGGATGATAGGGTGAGTTCCTTCGGATTCATTTGAATCTCAAAATGGTATGCTAATCCTCTCCCAGCCCGATCGCCTTCCACCCTGCAAGTGTTGTCTTCGACACCCCCAACCACACACAACTCCTCGAAAAAATCGGTGCTCGTTCACTGGTAATGGGCATCATTGACGAGCTGATGGAGCTCGCCTCTGCACAAGGTTGCTCATTCCCTAGTGACTTCCGGGATAAGACCGTCCAAAAAATGATTGCGTTGGAAACTCCGACTACAATGTACTCAGATTTCCAGGGCCGACGTCCCATGGAGGTTGAGACTTTCCTAGGGTCACCAATCAAGTTGGCAATCGAGTCCAATGTTGGCGTTCCCCGAATCGAGACAATGTACGCAGTGCTACACCACCTCAATATCGCAAACCAGAGCAAGCCCCGCCAGGAGTCTCCACCTGCATCCGTCATGGGTCAGCCGCCTCCCCGAATGTCGTCCGCACCTCAACAGCAGCGAATGAATGGTGGTACACCATCTATGCGTGGAAGCCGAACACCCTCGGGCATGAGCATACCCCCACAACAAAGACGAGGCCCACCCCCTGGTATGATGCCGAGAGGCCCAGGCGGACCGATGCTAATGCCACCCCCAAACCGAATCCAGCGCGATCCATCATTGGAGGGCCTTGAAGAATTCAGCCATTTGGTTGTCTACGACGAACAGGGCGAACCAACTGTACCGCAGCAGAATGGAAATGGGTACCCCGAGCCGGCACCTGGCCCTGTTTCGGAGTTGACATTGCGGGAGCGAGAGCTGGCTCTTCGTCAACGTGAGATTCAGCTACGTGAACAGGAGATGAACATGCGCCGAGGCCCCCCTGGCCCCCCAGGACGTCGAGGACCAGTTCCTTCTCGCCCTGCTACCGCCTTTGATGAAGAAGATGAGGATTACTTCGACCCGATGGATAACATGGCGATTCCTCACATCGACCCTGACAGTGTCGACATGATGAGCATGACTTCCCGCCGAAGGGGCAAGGGTCCTAGCCACAGCCAGTTCCGCAAAAACCCCGAATTCGGTGTAAACCCCCCTCCTGGCTCTGGTGGCAGCCGTCCTTCCTCATCAGCCTTCAACCGTTACTTTGGCAGAAAACGCACGAGCGATCGTGTGATGCAAGAAATCCCCGGTCTCCATGATTCCCTCATGGACAACCCCATGATGAGCTACTCCTCCAACAGATATGGAGCCGTCGACCGGAACCAGATGCACGCGGATTCTCGAGCCAATTCTTTAACGGCTAGCCACATGGGCGACTACCCACCTCGACCCTTCCCACAAAGCCGGCGCAACAGCCAGACTCCTGGAATTCCATTCGGCGGGCCCCCAGGACCTCATGGACACCCTGGCCCAGGAGGTCCGGGAGGCCCCCGGATGGGCCGCCCTCCAATGCCGCGTGAACACAGTCTTGGACCCTCTGGTGGACCTCACAATGGCCAGCCTTCCCCTCCTGGTAACATGCGCACCCCGGTGTCGCGGTACCCTCTAGGACAAGGAAGCGCGGCAGGGCCGCAGCAAGCCGAGCAACACTATGGGGTGAGCAACGCGTTCCCCGCTAAGGGTCCTCTTAAGAACCAGAATCTGACCGGAAGTGCGAGCGCCAGCGCGGGGAGTGGTGATAGTGGAGCCAGTGCCAATCTTGATTCCGAACCCTCATCTCATAGCAGTCAGGTCAGCCTCGGTGGGCAGGGGATCGCGGCGCCCGTTCGTTGAAAAAAAGAAAGAAAAAAAAAAAAAAAAAAAGGGGTTCCCTCCGCTTTTCTCAATAGCTGACCGGCGTTCCCATGATTGAATTCCATTTTCGGCATTGCATTCTTCCTCGGCTTGGACGATCATCGTCCGCCGAAAATTGGTCATGTTTGGACCTTTTTTGCATCATGGTGTCATTATGCGGGGACTTTATTCTTCGGTCCCGTGCTCTCGAAGCACTGGTTAATACTCTGCTGTTCCGCTTCTTTACATATACATGAGGGACATAGGGGTCTTCGTTGCTCATTTTTCATATTTTTCTGTTTCGGAGTGTGGTTGGGATAACGAGGTGTATCTGCGTGTTTTTGTTTTTTTTTTTTTTTTTTTGGTGATTTGCTCTGCATCGATACTCATCCTGTTTCGCGGCATTATCGATTTTTAATGAGGCCACTACGCGAGCCTAGACTGGGACATCCTTATCCTTGCTGTTTCTCCTCCCTTCTCATCTTTACAGCATGTCGATATAGCGTTGTCGTCGGCTCCCCTGCCCACCTTTTCATCTCTCCGCATGACTGTATACTATCAGCCGGGCATTCCTTCCCCCTCCCATCTAGACTCGCACACGCCTATTGTCTTCCTTTTGTCTGTTTTATCATCATTCGCTCCCCACGGGCATTTCCTTCATTTGCCTTTTTTTCCCCCTTCCTTTTGTCTCTCATATGGCTTGATGCAAACAGCCTCGTCTTTGATTTTGTGGTCTGGTCTGGTCTCTGGCGCATTCCAAAAGAGCGGGGGTTGAATTTATTCGGTTCATTGAGTTGTGTTGATCTGCTTGCTGGGTTTGCGCTTTGCTGGGAAAATTAATGAAGGGTGCGCTGCAGTGTTCAGTTTCGCTGCTTTTGAGCGGCACTTTATCCTTCCAAGGAGAATACGAATTAGACCTTTTATATCGTTGAGGTCTCTATAATTTATTCCAGTCCAAGTACATATTTAATGCATAAACAAGAGAGATCGAATGCCTATGCCCGAAGTATGAAATAGTATCTGTATCGACACGTGATCACCTGATAGTAAACAATCCCGCGGTCAAATAACACCAAAACAACCTCGATCGAAATCCAACCTGCGCACTTAGAAGCAAAATCATATTCAGAACTATTTCCAAACCAAACCATCCCCAAAATGCCACCCCCTCCAATCCACCGCCGTCAAGAATCAAACACCACCTACTCCCGCCCCTCAACCCTTCCAGGAAGAGACTACAACACAACAGCAACCCACACATTCAACACAAACCCAAACACCACATACACCCCCAATTACAGCTCCAACGCCTCCACTCCTTCCATGTCCGCTGCCAAATCGCGTCAATATGCCCATCTCCATTCCCAGCTCGCACAACTCAACGCCAACCTCGCCGACACGGAGAACTTACTCCGCATGACCGCCGTACAGGCGGCAGACATGCGTTTCCTCGGCGGATATTCTGGGGCGCTGTTTATGGGCTCTGCAAAGATTCTGGGCGAGGAGGGGGTTAAGGGAAATGCGGATAAGGATAAGAAGACTGATTCCGAAGCGGGAATTAAGAGGGAAGAGAGTGAAGAGGATTGAAGATGAGTGATCGATGAGTATTGATTTGATATGATATGGTGAGTTGGATGTGTCATGAGTTGCGGTGCTTTAATGCTTTACAATACGCTGTGGGTGATTCCTATGACTTATGCTAACATAACATGTCTAACAGCAGAGATATGACCTCCCTCCTGTGTTCCGACATATTATCTTACTCCACCACGAATTGACCACCGAGAATGACTGCCGGCTCATCGATGTTATGGTGCTCATAACTATTTCCCTGTTAGCTGTGTTCCATAAAACACGGCATGAGGGATTTCTGCCCAAGTTCGAAGTCTTACCTGAGTGTGCCTATACCACCGGCCTCAAGAATCAGCGCTGTCTCCGTCAACGGCTTCCCAGTCCAGCGCATGGCAAAAGCACGCAGAATATGACCGTGCGCGACAACAAGGACATCGCCCTTGGGCTCATCCCGGTTCTCGAAGGCGGGACGTTGGTATTTGTTCTTGATTTCGTCGATCAGAGCGTCGAGACGGCGAATCACATCCTCGGGGGATCTGGTAGGAAGGGAATGGATGTTAGCATGGCAAGACGACGCCCAGTGTTCAACGCATAACTGGAAGCAAGGTCTAGAATCAGACAAAGAAAAGAAACTCACTCTCCACCGGGACATCCATCAGTCCAAATATTCCACGGCCCCTCACCCCTCTCAGCCCGCTGCTCCTGGATCTGCTTGCTCGTCAACCCCTCATAGTCCCCATAATCCCACTCTCTAATCGCCTCCGTAACCTCAACCTCAGCCTCGGTCCGGATCGCTGCCTGATTTTCAGGCTTGTGCTGTTCATTCCAGGGCATTCGTCCTCGGCAACCAAGCTCGAGGAGTTCTAGGGTGCGCTGGGCGCGATGGCGGGGCGAGACATAGCTAGAACGGTGTGTTAGTTCGATGTTGTATTAGAATTGCAAAAGTGGTCAGTAGCGTATAGGGTTTTCTTACACATGAACAAGCTTCTTGGGAACAACCAGTCTATCATTTCCAACGAGTGCTTTGCCTGTCGCTTGAATGCGCTTCTCTCCATTGGCTGTGAGTGGTAGATCGGTAAGACCAGTGTGTCGACCATTAAGCGACCATTCTGTCTCGCCATGACGGATAATAAAACATCGAGGAGCCATTGTGTTTTGAATTGGATATCGTGAAGAGAAAGAAAAAAAGAATGAATCCGGTTATATTCAGCGCTGGGTCTCTTTGCGTCATGGTGGACCCGGATAACAGGCTTATCTTCATTTTCTACTTCAACTACGTGTGGATCTACGTGCACATAGTCGAGGTTGAAGTGTTCGGCATTTCATACATTAGGCATCAGAATACTGTTTCTTCCTTTTTTTTAGTGGTGTATCCCTCGTAATCCACCGAATAACAAACCCCCAACCCTTGGAATAAGACATCACCGACAAGAAACCTCAAAACTATGAGCTGTCTTCTTCCGCGAGATAGTCTTGCACTTTGTATGGGATCCAGTCTTGACCTCTTCAATCATCGCATATCGAGAACACCTCTTATCCCGGAAAAGTTTCACCTTGCAACCCGGATCCATTTTAAGGTTGATGAAAGACTCTGCGCCATCGTTCTCGATGTTGGGGCGACAGCCTGTAGATCCATAGCCCTCGTAGGTAACTATTGTGCCTATGCAGTGCTTGTTGTGGAATAGATCGAAGCTCCAGTGATGCTTGTGGGGTTGGTGTCCTTCGGGTGAGCGTGCGGTCGGGTGGCCGGCTGTGAGGACTGGGAGGAGGAGGGCTAGGGCAAGGAGGGAGGTGTGGATCAGCTTCATTTTGGATAGGTTTATTTTTTATTTTATATCCCATGAGAAATTGGGGAGGATAGAGGGTTTGTTAGCTTTGTAGGTTGAGGTTAGTAGCTTTTTGGTATTGCGTAGTTATGACTGCGGTTGTTGGGTCTTACCGTGGGTTGACGCGTGCATTTGGTTCGTGGCCTACGGGTATCTGGTATTTTTTGATTTGGCTTACATGTACATTTTACATCTATAGTAGGCTTCGATGTCGACTTTATTCGTTTCAAGTACATAGTCTTCAAATTGGTAAACTTCGCCGTATGTGGTCTCCTATCACTTGTTATAATCAATGGGAAGGCTATGTTGACCAACTGAAAAAGACCCATTGGACTATACCACAGCCCTCTTTCTGGCCTTCGATAGATGCTTCTATAGATGGCGTCTACCGCCTTTCTCTCCGCTTTGTTCGCACTCTTTGCATCAAATGGGATGTCGAGTATTCTGCCAGACAAATATCAATGCCACCATGTCTGCTTCCACACAATATCCTTTGATACACCAATGAAAGCGTGGACAGCAAATCCATTAACCCCAAGCAAGCCCTCGGGGAACCCGTTTGACCCCCGAGAGAGTAGTTCACTGAAACTGATGGCCGTATTTGCTCATCTAAACCGCCAATATGGAACGTCGACTCACATCTAGAAATGTGAGCCTGGACTGGGTTGAGCAAGATGATCAAGTTGTGGATCCCGTCTCATCACATCTTATCCAAAATACATACTCCCGGCTGAAACTCCAGTACGCAGAAAAGTTGCGTCAGAATTGGGTCGAACAACTTGAACCACCCAACCAAGTCCTCGAGCAGCTGTCTCTCGCCGCATGTCTAATTGAGCTATGGAAGAGCATGTACGGCGCTCTACCAGCAACAGAACAACAGCCATCGAAAAGCACAGCGCCGTTCCCAGGGTTCGTGGACCTGGCTTGTGGAAATGGTATCCTCGTATACATACTTCTCATGGAAGGATACAAGGGCCTAGGCTTCGACGCTTGCCGCCGAAAATCCTGGGAGACATTCCCAGCCGAGATACAGAAATGCCTAGAAGAGAGAATCTTCATCCCTCGGCCCTTTGCGGATGTACTGGACCAAGGAATTGGTGTGGAAATACATACGGGGAATTTCCCCGATGATACATTTATCATATCCGACCACGCAGATGAGCTGACCGTATGGACTCCTATAATGGCTGCTCTCTCGAATCCCTCGTCGCCATTGCCGTTCTTTGTGATTCCGTGCTGTTCGCGTTCACTTGCTGGTTCTTCGTATCGCTACCCCCCGCCAAAGAGTGCGGATGGCAATCCTGTTGCAGGGAAAGTCGATGATGCTCTAGAGCAGAATCCACAGCCTGCGTCTGGTGACCTGAGGGCGCTTCGTGTGATCAAGATGGAGGAGAAGACTGAGAGCGGGTTTCTGAATTCAATGGTGGGTTCTCTTGCTGCGAAAACAATGAGTATTGCGGAGGAAATTGGGTTCGATGTTGAGAAGACATGGTTACGCACTCCAGGTGCGATTAACATGGTGTTGATTGGAGGTCGACGACAAGTTGCAAGGGAGTGGGTAAACTCGGGTTCTAGAGGTTCTCCAACGGAACCGGAACAAGGAGATGGTGTTTTGAAGAAGATCATGGAAGTTGTTGAGCGTGAATGCTCCAAGGATGGTGGCATACAGATAGCTGCTAGGCTCTGGGTTGAACGGACGAAGAGTCTTCACCAGGGACAGGGGATAATGCACCAAGTTAACTAAGGATACCCGAATGAAGATAAGCTGTCAATAGTATTCTAGACGGCCATACGCTCCAACGTACGGGGATAACAGAAGTAGTGTTGGTATGTCATCATATGTGCTCTAAATCTATTCACACCTAAACAAAACATAAAACATAGAGTGGGGGAATAGAGGAGTGTGTTAATGTACAATAATGTTACAAAGCTCTTCAACTCCGTTGCTATTGGTTGATCCAAATCAAAACGCCTGGGCTTCCATTTCGAAGCAATCAAACCGTCACACATACTTTAGTCACTGCGTATCACGCCTCAGGCTTAACATGACCTTCGGGGCACACGGTCTCTTTTCCATCACCGTTGCCGCTTTCCGCATGAGCATTGTTAGATGCCATAGCTGATGCCTGCATAGCAGCCTGGGTGGCAGGCGTCGATTTCAAGTTTCTCGATGCAGCTTGAGCCGCAGCCGCAGCTGAATTCTCTTTGAGACGTCTCAGACGCTCAGATCGGCCTTCTCCTGGGAGACTGCCCCAGGCCGGTTCAATTGAATCGGCGCGCCAGTTGTTACGATTCCCACCGAGTGCGCTGCGCTTTGGGGAGAGAGGAGCGAAGGTGGAGCCTCCCACGCCGGATTCACCCCACATGCGGACCCGTTGAAGCTTGCGCAGTTTCGCGAGACCGTAGACGCAGACGAGACCAGTCAGAGCAAAGCATATCGTGGAGACACCCCCGAAACCCAAGTCTGATTCTTCGATAAAATTCTTCAAGTTCATACCGTAGAGGGCGGAGAATAATGTTCCTGTTGCAAGGCCGAGTGTTCCAATGCTGAATTTAAGATCCATGAGCATGAGCGAGTTGCGGTTGGCGTCGAGAATAGCCTTGACTCTGTGTTGTGTTAGAGGTAATTTCCGTAGATAACGAACGATCAAACTTACACTTCTTCCGTATTGCGAATATTCGTAACCAAATTGCCACTAGCCTGAACAATCTCATCGCACACTTTGTGGTATGACTCCAGAAGCATTTCCACTTCTTGATGGTCGTCCTCTTCTCGCTCTTTGCCATTCGATCTCTCAGACAGATACATTGCGGCCAAATCGTCATCGGCCTCCAGCAGGTCATCAATAGCATCTCGTACCAGGCGAGCTTTCTGCTCAAATGTACCCAGCTTCTTGGAGTAGATCAAGAGGTGTCGGAGCTTATCTCGATCGATGTCCTCCTCGAGTGCACGAAGAACCCGCACAACAGGATCTCTCACTCCATTAAACTCCTCCTCGAGGCCACTCGTGACGCTAATGAGAACGGCTTCCAGCGCGCGAAACTCGTATGGCAGCGATTGACTAGGCTGAGCGGCGCCCTGGGATTGTCTCTGGCGGAGCTTTCCTTCTAGATCGTAGATGAACAGCGATTGCATGTATGAGTCTGTTGATCCATACGCATCGAACACGAGTACTCGGTCCGCTTTAATGAGGACTCGCAGATGCAACAGATTGATGAGAATTGCCCTAGGTCGCACTAGGATATGAGGGAGAGTGGACGAATCAATCTTGCGTAGATCTCGAGGAAGAAGGCCATACTGTATCGTGATTTACCGGTTAGCAAATGTTGACCTCTCCAACCCGAGTCCTCTTTACTAACCTTGGCAATCAGCTCCTGCTTCCGGAACTCTCCGTTCACGAGTGTAACGTCTCCATTGATATCAAACTCCGTGCATCGAATTCGAAGCTCATTTGACGCCTTGGCTGATAGGCTGCGGCCAATATTAAACATTCCCTCTGTACCTTCATCCATAAGCCCAGGGCCAGCCGGGCCTTCAGTCTTGTAGTCGGAAGCTTTATTCCGCTTGAGACCAAAAAGTCGTCGGAGAAAGGGTCGGCTTTTGGTTGACGCATGACGCGAGAGTTTCAGCTGCGTCGGCACTAGTGGCGGCAAGACTGTTGCTCTAGTGGTACTAAGTGTCGTAGAGCCATGTTGAGCATCGATACGCGTCCAGTTCGAGAGTTTCGGGGAGGGCCCTGTCGAGAAGCCTTTATCGCGGCTGGCAAGACGCTTCGGATAAGCGCATGCTGATGGTGCGGCTGGGAGCCCAGACTGTGATCGTAGGAATCGCAATAAAGAAGCAGAAGGCGCAGACAGCCTCGGAGACAGCATGTCTCTGGATTATCGACTGAGCCGTACACGAGTTCTCCCGATCAGATCAAGATACACTTTTTCCCATTGCCCGGAACAATGTTAACCCGATTATCAGAACTATACGATTGGTACATAAAAACACCGCTTGTTGTTTCTCAAATGTCTCGTACTCTGGAATTGGGAGTGATTCTATCTAGATACTGCTACCATATGCTTAAGTCAAAGCACTTCCTTCTCGATTCAGTGCCCAGTCAGTCAGGTCATCACCCTTGTCCCTCTCGGCCATCTCCATTTGGCATTGAATCACCCAGATCAAATGTGCCTCAATCGCATGATAATTGTCGAACCAGAGATGGAAATTCTTGCAGCTCTCATCCCAAGTGCTGTGTTCCACAAAACTTCGAGTTTCGTGGTCTAAGTTCCCCCACGCAGTAACCCACTTAGGAAAGGCCAGCCTCAACGTCAAGATATCGGCGAGGCCGATATTGTGATAATCATGAGTCTTAAGCTTCGCAACAACAGGTAAAATGTCCAAAACGACATCCTTAACCTCATAGATCGAGGATACCCGCTCAAATTTCCGGTATTGCTTCCCCAGCCTTTTCCAGGGAGCCAAAAGGATAAATGCTAGCCGCACTCGCTCGCTATCCAGGCAATAATCCAACCATTTCACAAGTACTTCACGAAGCTTTGAGCGCCCATGATCTTTAGCAAAACAATGGTTGCAGGACAACCCATCAATAAATGTATCGGTGATCGTGTTCTCGCTTTCATCCCAGTTTCGGAACTCCCAGGCAGAGACGGCGGCAGGTACCCAATGATTGAGAGTGGAACCAATCCGAAACGCACGTAATTCCTGCCAGCGCGAACATCCCGGACATCGTACCATATACATAGCCCAGAGAGAATCAAAAACATCCTCGCGAAACCTGTTTAGCATTGGAGCATTGACGGTCGGCCTCACGCTTCTCATTATGGCAGAAAGACCCGGGAAATATCGGTCCAAGGCAGTGTCAAATAGCACACGACGGCTCCGCATTATGGGTACCTTCTCTGTGCCTCGCTGCATAGCAGATGAGAGCTCACCACGCCGGAAACGACATTCGTTGCACTTGCGCAGATGCCGCTTGGAGCCACAGCGCTCTTTCTCAATGAGGCGTGCTTCATGGTCCAGAAGAACCTGTTCTTCCTCTTGTGTGATACTGCAGTATTCGTCCAGACTAAAGCCTTGGAATGTAATCATCCCGCTGTCCTGAAAACTGGCTAATCTTGCGCCCCTATCGCGCACAGGATGGTTCGGTCTTAATGCGTTGCATTTAGATGCAAGATCGTATCGACGCCGTATTTTCTGATCCTCATCTCTGGAGTCGGATTGTTGCTTGTATAGATGGTACGGTTTGCGGGGTTTCCATTTTCTTGCTGGCTCCCAGCTCGTGTAAGAACTTGCTGCTGGAGACCCTGGCAATGGCTTGCGGTACTGCAGTCGTAGGATAGAGTGATTGTCGAAGGCTGTATGTGGAAGCAACTGGAGACAGACACTACAGGCCCAGCGCATAGCATACCATTCCTTTGACAAGAAGTCGGGATCGAGGTGATTATCCTTCGATCGAAAGACAGGGGTGACTCCTCCGACTTCTTCTCGGCATTCAAGTTCAAGCAACCTTTCCAGTAAATGAGTTCTTTGTGGTTGCACCACTGTGCGGAATTTGGAATTGGTTTGGCTAATGGATATAAGGCCAATGGGATCCAAGAGACGGAATATAGAGCACAGGATTTCAACGGGCAAAGACCCAAGAGATGGACGATCAGACTTCATCTCGAACGAAAAGTGGTTTTTTTTGAAACGAAACTCGAAACTGCTGTTTATGATACAGGGAAGAGACAAGAGACAGGCTTTACTTTCAAATTTTTGTGAGCAATGAAGATATTATAAGTCATGGACGTCCCCAGGTTTATTTCCAAGCGGGCTTATTGTTTGTGGCGGTGTAAGCTAAACTCCACTTGGCCATACATCTAGGCTCCATAGCATTGAACTAAGAAAGAGAATGAAACGAAACATCTACTTCCTCGTACTGAGACTATTTCTCGTATCCACCGCATCTACCTTTGAAAGCTATATACAAAGTGCATTGCCCCTCTTTTGTTAACACTTGAAGCAAAACTTTTAGGCAAAACGCTGGACCAAGAAACATCATGCCCAATGCTCGCATGAATAAAAACCGTTGGTATCTTCAAATACTTGAACAATCCCACCGAAAACTAATCGCTCACCAATCGTCGTCGTTGTCTTTCTCGTCATCTATCAAGATAGTTAGCATATAGATCCACGTTTAGGTATTGGAATTAACATACCACTTCCGCTGACTCTCTGTTTTCGCTTGTTGAGGGCGTCTTGCAATGCGCCGGCCAAACCACCTTGCGGGGCGCCTCCTGCATTGGGGCTTGTAGCGGAAGACTCATTGGTAGCACCCGGTACCAAGGCATGACTTCGATCTTTCTTTTCCGTATCCTTGACCTTACGCAACATTCCACCTTTATTGCCACCAGAAGCTCGGATGGACGCTAGCAGATCGTTATGCCCACCGGTAGGCTTTGGCAAGGGCGGCGCAGCACCACCAGGCGGAGGAGGCGGAGGAGGAGCACCACCTCCAGGTGGTCCAGGGGGTGGAGGCGGAGGAGGAGCACCACCTCCAGGCGGTCCAGGGGGTGGAGGCGGCGGCGGCGGTCCACCTGGTGCCCCTGAAACAGGCGCCGGAGGAGGGGGAGGGGGAGGCATTGAGGGGCCACCACGGCCCGGGGGCGGGCGAGGCGGGGGCCCCGGTGCTGCAGAGCCAGGCGGCGGCGGCGGAGGAATGCTAGGAGAATATGAAGGGGGAGGCGAGGCCGGTCCTCTTGGTGGTGGAGGAGGAGGAGGAGCTGCCGCAGGAGAAGACGGTGCAGCTGGCACGGGTCGAGGTGCGGGTGGGGGTGGAAGTGGAGGTGAAACGGGGCCCCTGGCGGGTGGAGGAGGAGGTCCAGTGGCCATGGACGGCACTTTGGGGGGCAGTTGGGGTGGTGCTGCTGGGCTCGCTGTGCGAGGCGGCGGAGGGGGAGGCCCGCCTGGTACAGGGCTACGGCTGGGGGGTGCCGGTGGTGCAGACACCTTGCGATCACCAGAGAAAGCCGGCGGTACACCAAATCGAGATTGACTCGATTGATTATATTGACTATCGTCCATCGGTGTCTTTGGTGGTCGCGGGGGTGGTGGAGGCCCGGCATTGACATTCGAAATTGCGCGTGGACGCCGCGGGCCTACAGGGCCGGCTGGCTCAGCGAATTTTCCTGCGTCCGCAAATGGAGGTGGCGCATTGAATCTTCGCGCAGGCGGAGATGGCTCACGAGGGGGAGGGAAACAGGTTCTTCTGGTGCTTCAGAACGTGTTTTCCGTGACGGAGGCGGCGGCGGCGGTCCCCGTCTGCTTGTCGAGCTGGAACCCGTGTCTTGAGGACTGATCGAGGCTACCTTCGGAGCGGGAGGTGCAGTAGGTGGCGGGGGAGGGGGAGCAGCCTTCGGCTTGTTCTGTTCCTCAATGGGAGCCGACTCGGCCGCGGCCGCCTGCTTCTGGTCAATCCAAGCTTTGATGAATTCGGAATTCTCGGCGATTTGGTCTTCAGTAATTCCCATCCCCTTAAGCTCATCCAGGAGACCTTTCCAAGAGGGGTCACTCGTATCAAATGGCAAATCTGGCTTAGCTGGTGGTACGCTTGGGGACAGCGTCGGGGGTGGGGGAGCAACTTGTATTGAAGGCGCAGGTGCTGTCGACGGCGGTGCACTTGAGGCCGGGGTCGAACGATGCAACAAGCTGCCAAACAAAGACCGTCCTACTTTCCCATTGGTAACAGGAGCAGGCCCCTGGCCTTTACTAGAGGCGAAAGGAGTCTTGGATGTCTCTTTGCTTGCATGTTTCTCGCGCTCCTGCACCTTCTTAATAAAGGTCTTGGCCTCCTTCTCGTCGACAAAAGACAGGCCGGCGGGACAGGATTCAAGCTCGAATGTATGAAAGAAGGTTCGGTCCTGATTGTAAGCGAAGTTGTCATAGATCTCCTGGTCCCAGATCACGCCCCTGCCAGCGGGCTGCATAAACGCATTGTCAGCACTTCTATTCTTATCTCCAACACCAGTATGAACCGCCTACCGAGACATCGACTATTTTAAGCCAAAAAGTCCTTCCCACCAAGTCATTGCAGAGGACAACAGCTCCTTGGATTCCAGTATATGTCCATTTCTGTGGATCCGGGTAGGCGACGTAGAGTCGCGCGACAGCTACGGCGAGGATCTTGTTCGCGGGTTTGGGGACATTCCGCTTGACGGTTTCCTTGTCGGCGTCGCTGAGGATGGAGGGCATGGTAAATCGAGGTGATCTCCCACTGAATGGAGAGGGGAAACGTGATAGTTCGAAGGGTGGTTACGTGAGTAGTGCACACATTGCAGTCGGGCGGGTATCTTCGAATGATGGAATAGCGCCCTTCGACACACCGATTGATACGGTAGGAGGGACAGGGGCTTGTGATCGGCTGATTATATTCAAAATGTGTAAGAGAGCCGACTGGCGGTTGCCTTGAGAGTTGGAGAGGATTAGATCGGAGGTGCGCAGGCGGGGCGGACCTAATACACCGGAGTGACATGGGCTCGCCGCACCGCTAACGGCACATGATACTTTTTTTTGTATTAAAGTGTGAAGGTCATTACATCTTCATTCTGTTTGATCTTTATCACAAATCTAAATCATTTTGGAAATACAATTTGATGAATATTGACAATAAGTGAGGATTGTGGAATGCGGTTTAGCGTGCCCGTATGTAATGTGTCTTCTATACCATACAACCACTTGATGAGCTCATCTCATTTCTATTTATGTAGGATCATGGCTAGGTAAATAGGACGTAAAAACATGTCGAAAATGTGATTATATATGTCTATATGAAACGTATTTGCAACTAGGTAGAACGCTATATAGCTTTTTAATCAAACCTAATTTCGTTTCTCATACTTTTTAATCCTTCATAACTATTACTATGGTTATGCCTTGAAGGCATTGTTATCAAATAATAGCTATATTGTACCAGGTAACTACGACATGCCCCAGTTAAGTTCCTTGCACCCCGGAGTATACTCACTAAACATAACCAAAAACTATAGAATCAATTGGATTTTCATATTCATTCTTGTTCTTGTACAAGCGTGTTAAGGCAACTTCAATGCTATTTGTTGCAAACTGACCACCGACGTCATCCCGCTTGACATCTATAAAGCAGACATCCAACCAACCTTCAAGACCTGTTTCTTCAACTCACCATCAAACTACTACAAGATTTATTCGGTCTATCTACCAGTGAACAAAAGCTGGTATTAGCTAGTAGTACCTCAACAAGCCTTTCTATATCTTCAAAATGCCAGTCATCCCCGAGTCGTCGGACTTCCCATCTGCGCCCCAAAATGGAGGCAATGAGGCCGAAAAGAAACCACCCCAGAAAGCGACTGCAGCGGACTTCATATCAAAGGGACCTCAGATTCCAGACAGTAAGTTGACTACCAAGATCTACACAGGCCCGCAACTGACACTTTGTAGATATGCCTCCCAAGGCTTCGAAAGAGGAACTCGAGGCACGCGCCAAGGAACTGAACCAGTCATCCAAATGAGAGACCATTGGTCAATAATCTTAATCTATCTGTGCTTTAATCAATACCATATTCTGCCACTTCAGACAACTTGTCCTCGTCAAGTGTATCCATAGCGGGTTGTGACCCAAACTAGATCTAACACCAACATACAGAGAGTAGCTGCTTGAGAATTATAAACCCAGACAAAAATTAGAATATGCGTTGCTTTTTGAATCTAGCTCATTTTCTTCAAAGGCTGCGTATAATTTCAAGGACCTCACCTAGGCAGCCCTGGAGGTTCATAGATTCATTACGTCATATACAATAGCACACGTGATCGCGCGACATCTCGATGACTGGACCCCTCACTTCTCAACGCGTTAGGAAGTGGTCCCAATGCCTCCAGAACGGTCCAATGTACCAGTGAAGCTGTCTCTGCCATTGGTGAGTACCTATTGACCCGGCCCAGGCTTGCCGCTAACCCCCCATCAAGCAATACCAGCAGGAACTCTTCACCGAACTACGCGCCGAAGATGAGCTAGTCATCCTTGCACGGGGCCTGGGACTTCTACACCTAATAACAAATCTCCTCCATTTTTACGATGCAGCGGGAAACAATCTGGTTCTAGTGGTGGGTGCAGATGAACGCGAGAATGAATGGATCGGAGAGGGTATGTGGATCGGTTTACATCCCAGGTTGGACGCTGGTGTTGGAAGCTGATGGATCCCAAAACTAGCATTGGCGGAGCATTATGCTACCAGCAAGTCCCCCCTTGCTAGGGGGCTGAGAGTGATCAATACCGAGAAAGCTACGGTGCCGATGCGGTGGGTTTCTCGGTTCTGACATGTTGATTGCGGTTTATTGACAAATTGCCAGAGAGAGAATATATGCTGAAGGAGGTATTCTGAGTGTGACATCCAGAATATTGGTTGTGGACTTGCTATCGAGTATGTGTGACTAGTATAATAACTCAGACATCTGCTGACCTGTCTAGAACTTCTTGACCCCGAGAAAGTCACAGGCATGGTAATTTTACATGCTGATAAGGTTTTGGCGACCTCACTCGAAGCATTTATTGTCCGGGTTTACCGGCAATCGAACAAGCGCGGCTTCTTGAAAGCATTCTCAGACTCTCCGGAGCCATTTACTACGGGTTTTGCCCCGTTGGCTAAGATGCTGCGGAACCTTTTCCTACACAAGGCATCACTGTGGCCTAGATTCCATGTTTCTGTTGCCGAGTCTCTAGAAGGAAACCGCAAGGCAGAAGTGATCGAGTTGGAAGTTCCCATGAGCGACAAAATGAGGGAAATTCAGAATGCCGTCCTGGAATGTGTAGAGATCAGCATCACCGAGCTCAGGAAGAGCAACACCGGACTGGATATGGAAGAGTGGACATTAGACAGTGCTTTGCACAGGAATTTTGATATGATTATCAGACGTCAACTAGACCCAATCTGGCATCGTGTGAGCTTCAGGACAAGACAGATCGTCAGCGATCTGACAGACCTACGAGGAGTTCTTCAGTGTGTTTCTCGCGTTTATTTCCATTTCTTTATTACTAACAACCCTGCAGTGCTTTACTCAGCTACGATGCGGTATCTTTCATCAAGTACCTTGATACTATCGTGTCTGCGCATGCTCCGCCTCCCGGCTCCAACAAACATAATTACTCTCCGTGGCTTTTCCTTGATGCTGCCCATGTGCTTTTCCAGACGGCCAAATCACGAGCCTACGAAGGCAAATTGAACAACGAACTGACCCGCCTTTCATCTTCGACTACATTTTCTTCCGAGTTACATCCAGCTCTAGAGGAGCTCCCAAAGTGGAGTGTCCTATCAGAGGTCCTTGCAGAAATCGAACACGATGCTTATCTCCATCCTGCGAGAATGGATCAATCTAATAGCACTATATTGATTATGTGTAGTGATCAACGAGTATGCCGCCAGCTTCGCGAGTACATTGGCACTATGCATTCCAAAATTGCTCAAGGCTCCAAATCCAAAGATGAGGATCCGAACGAGGATAAACCTTCTGCGGAGCTTATGATGCGGCGTCGGCTGCGAGACTACCTCAATTGGAAGAGGTCTCTCTCAAATGTCAACAAAAATTTGTCCCAGTCAGGAGAGGATGACAGATCTGGAACCCCTTCTGGCTCGTCAGCGGCCCAGAGTGCGCATCAAGGACGGCCTCCTCCAAACAAACGTCGTCGAGTACGTGGCGGTGGTGCAGTTACCTCAGCTGCAGGCCGTGTGCCAAATAGCAGTGTCCAAACCGATGTTGAATTGCCCGGTCAGGTCGTCAGCTTGCTAATCGAGATTGAACCCACCGAGGTGGAAGAAATGCAGAAAGAGGAGGTTATTGTCGATGACCTGGAGGATATGGAAGATTTCTACGAATTGTATGATATGAACGATCTGGTCATGATACACCCCTACGACGGTGACATGGATGAGCATATACTCGAGGAAGTGCGTCCACGATACATTATCATGTACGAACCCGATCCCGCATTCATTCGAAGGGTCGAGGTATATCGCAGTTCCCATTCGGGGCGAAACGTGAAGGTTTACTTCATGTATTATGGTGGTTCCGTCGAGGAACAGCGGTATCTGAGTGCCGTCCGAAGAGAGAAAGACTCGTTCACAAAGCTGATCAAAGAGAAGGGGGTAAGCTACCCAACCACACACTGCGCATTACTAGCTAACGTGAACTTCAGAACATGGCAGTCACCTTAACGCATGACAAAAAGGATGAAGACCCTCAGGAGCAATTCCTCCGCACAGTCAATACTCGTATTGCTGGAGGAGGAAGATTGGCAGCTACAGCATCCCCTCCTCGCGTTGTAGTTGATGTGCGGGAATTTCGAAGTGCCCTACCATCTCTGTTACATGGAAACAACATGATCGTGATTCCCTGCCAGCTCACCGTGGGTGACTACATTCTCACTCCAGACATTTGTGTCGAAAGGAAATCGATCCGTGATCTCATAACCCTCTCTCAAAAACGGCCGCCTCTACAACCAGGCCGAGACGATGCTCCAGTATTACAAGAACCCGTTACTATTGATTGAATTTGATCAAAACAAATCTTTCACTTTTGATGCATTCGCCTCCATTCCAACAGGGCCCACGTTTATGACAGACTACGGTTTCTCATCTTCCGGCACTGCAACCAGCACTAGCAGCAGTGCACTTGCCAATCCATCTAATCCAAAGTCCGCTCAGCATCTACTTGTGCTCCTCACTCTCGCCTTCCCACGCCTAAAGATCATCTGGTCTTCATCCCCTTACCAGACAGCTGAGATTTTTGCAGAGCTCAAAAAGAACGCCCAGGAGCCAGATCCACTTCGCGCAGTTCAACTAGGCCTTGATATTGATATATCTAATTCGTCTGGCTCTGCCGACGTCATGGCTGCTGCTGGGATTGAGCACCGTACCTTCAATCTTCTTCCACAAGACATGCTGCGAGCTGTTCCGGGCGTTACGCCCCAGGCTCTAGAGCGACTAATCATTGAAACGGACAATATTAGAGACATTGCCAACATGGATGTCGAACAGCTGGATCCGCTGGTTGGTAAAGAAGCTGCACGTAAGATCGTTGCTTTCTTCCATAAAAGCGTATTTGATTAATGGGGGATTTGGCCTGAAGTCTCTAGTGGATTAATGAAATTATGATTTCGATGCAAACTAAATAAGTATCTTCGAGGATTCACAAAAGAGCTGTGTATCTTTTTAGATGCGGTAATATGTAACAAACACAACTACCATGCACATCACCCCATCAAGGAAAAAGCAAATAAAAGCAAACAGCCGAGACATCTAGGTTCTGGACTCTTAATCGATTTGAACCTGGTCTATCTACTTCTTACCCATAAGAACTCGTTTCGTCTTGGCGTCGATCGTGCAGATCAGCTACCTAAAAACAGAACAGCCCCCCAGTCAACAGCCGAAACGAAGTAAGGGCCCCTGAGAAATAGTGGAGATATGAATGGGTCCATTTGACGTCGGAAATAATATGGCAGTCTCCTGACGTTTTCAACATATCACCATGCGTTTCAAGACTGTGTTGATTCGGATCGCTTTGGCGGCTGTTGTGGGTGCTGCCAGAAGTGTACCTGATGTTGAGCCATGTGCTGAAGTTAGCAAATTGGTGGAAGATGCCACTCAAGACAAGAGTAAGTTATCGACTCGAAATCATCAAATAGTTGATAACTAACGGTCGCAGTAAATGCCATCGTACCTCATGATATGGCACATCAGTGTCTGCTATCTATGCCATTTGACTCGGACCGCGCCGTTGATTTCCTGATTCAGGTTCGCAAGATCCTCGAGTTCCAGTCGACTATCGATATTTTGAAGGGTAAGCGATATCCATTCGAATGGGGATTCTTTAACATGGCTAACTTGTATTACTAGATCCCCCATCAGGGTATACCATGCCCTCCACGGATATCATGGGGGAAATCGATACAATTATGGCCAAGGCCAAGAGCAATAGCTATACTAGCCAATTTGAGATGGACTTGGAGATTAACCACCTTATTAGAACGGCCCATGATGGTCACTTGGCCTTCCAGCTATGCTCGCAGTCGATCTTTACATATCAAATTGATATGCCTCTAGTGTCCATCTCAACAGATGGGCTCGCACTTCCCCAAGTGTACGCTTTAGGTATGTCTAGCTCGATACCTGTTTCGAACCTTTGGGCTAACCTGCCAGGTGATGCAAAACTGCAGAAGAACGACCCAGACGCCGTCTCGCCTTTGGTGTCCATCAACGGCATTGCCGTAGCAACGTACCTTGAATCATATTCCAATGATCAGAACCTCCAGGATCGCGATGCACAGTAGGTACCCTTCTACAGCTACGGTATTGAATCACACTAACTGTCGCAGGTACAATCGGGTATTCCCCGCACCAGCCCGCAGTGTCACCAACACTCCTACTAGTGTGAATGGAATCTGGGCTTCTATTGGAGATTGGACTGATGGAGCTCATCTATCTCTCAAATTTGGCAATGGCACCGAAAAGACTGTTCAGAAAACAGCCACACCGAGCGAAAAGTTCTTTTCTTATAAAAACGGCACGCACCTCTACGACATCGAGTGTCTTCCTCAAGACTTGTCTACAGCATCGACCAGCCCATCCGGCGCCGAGAAAGCCTCCTCCGAGATAACAGGATTTCCAACCACTACCTGGCGCAACTCAGCTAATTCAATTGCTGGATATTACTCTAAATTATCAGGGCTGGAGGACACAGCAATCATCTTTCTACCCACATTCTCGTCCAGCGCAGCAGAGGTCGCTAATATTGCAGTTGACTTCTTGCAAAACAGCACCGAAGCTGGAAAGAAGAACCTATTGATCGACCTCTCATCCAACCCCGGTGGATACATGTCTATTGGCATCGACCTGTCTCGTATCTTCTTCCCCAATGCCGCGCCATACACAGCGACACGGTTCCGAGCACACGATGCAGCCAAATTCCTCACAAAGGCATATTCGCGCGACAACAAGACGGACACAAGCAATGTGTTTGCGTATCGGCAGATGGTTCGGCCAGACCAGAAAACCGACTTCGGCTCGTGGGAAGATCTCTATGGGCCGCACGAAATTCTGGGGAGCTCTGCTTCTAGCCTACTAGCTAACTTCAACTACACTTCCACCTCTTCAAAGGTCTTCCCCATCAACGGTTACGGACCAGTTCCGTTGAAACCAAGCAAATCACCCTTCTCGGCGGATAACATCGCTATTGTAAGTGGTCGTATCTCACACAATACAGGAAACAGGAAACAGACGAAGGAAACAAACTGACACAACTATAATAACAGATCACAGATGGCGACTGCGTCTCAACTTGCGCGTTCTTCGTCAAGCTGATGAAACGCCAGGGCGTCCGCACAATCACCTTCGGTGGCCGTCCACGAAAGGCACCCATGCAGGGTGTCGGCGGCGTCAAGGGTGGCCAATCACTCGGGGTCAACTATATCAACGGGTACATCGAGCAAGCGAACGGACTGATTAGAGACTCCGTCAACAGTGGATCGCCGCTCCTGACACCTACTGAGTGGAAGACATTCAATGAGTCCAGCCCGAGCACAACGGCGTCACTTCAGTGGAGTGGCAACCTGAATCTGCGGAATGAGTATGACCCGGAGGATGGCGAGACGCCGCTGCAATTTGTTTATGAGGCTGCTGAATGTCGGCTGTTCTATACGTTGGATAATTATTTGCAACGGGAGACCGTTTGGCAGGCTGCGGCGAAGGCTATGTTCGGGGGTGGGCAGTGTGTAGAGGGATCGACTAAGGGGAAGGGTAGTTTGGATTCTTGATCTGATTGATATTTCAGCAAAGACATACATAGGTAGAATAGTTAGATAGAAATTGTACGTAAACACATTTAAGATATACCTGGCCTGGCCTGTACATAACGTAGGGTGGAATTGGCTAGTTTAGTTACGAAATTCACCTGATTTGTCTGGTTACTTCTTTGAATTGGTCTACAAAGCATGTCTGCTAGGAGGTCTAAAAAATAATATTTTCAATTCTCGTGGCCCATTTCATGACTCTATCATAAAAGAACGAAAAGAAAAGCAAGTCGAGGCTGAGCAGAGTGAACACACCGCATTCAATGCAATGCAGGAAAACAAGCACACAGGTTCATGATGTGTGCGTAGCAATCATTTTAGTCTCTGTCATGATCCCAAGATATTTGCAAAAAGGACGAAAATGGAATCGAGGATCAATCCACCTAGGAAAATCCAAAATCGCCGATGGACAAACACCAAGGGTCCTCTGTTCGATGGCTTCAAGCCCGGAAAAGTTGTCGCAGTAGCGCCAGCACGGAGGGAGGGTGTCCCTATCCTCATGCAAGCCGAGGTGAGAAGCAGCGTCGTAGGCTGGAGAGGTGATTGATGCTCTTGGTCCGTTCGAACGAATGTACAGAGGGAATCGGATGTCGAAAGTACCTCGCGTGGCAAGTAGTCAAAGGCAGTTTCAGAGCAGATGAGCGACGGCACTGTGCCAACGACGGCGAGTAGGAGGAGAGGGATTTGGCGAACATGGAGAATACCGAGGAGGGATGTATCCGGGGTATTCTTGCAGGGCAGAGCATCGAACTCTGGGAGTAGCAGGGGATGAGCTTAGAGCTCGTCGACATCGATCTCCTTCTCGTCCTCGCTTTCGCGGTCCTCGTCGAACTCGACGTTGTCGTCCAGGCCTTCACCGCCGTAGGTATCGGTCTCGTTGATCTTGGCGTGCTCGGGAAGCTCGCCGTAGGCCTTCAGAGAACGGGCCTCGTCGGCGGTGTACTTCATGATAACATCACCTTTCTCGTCCTGGTAGTCACGGAGCGAGAGGAGAATGATATCACCCTGGTTGATCCAGACCTTCTTGCGGAGCTTGCCACGGATGTGGGCGAGACGCTTCTCGCCATCGAAGCAGAGCGCCTCAAGACGACCGTTGCCCAGCATCTTCACGACCTGAGCGTACTCCTGGCCCTCCTCCTTGAAGACGAGTTCACGCTTCTCGTTGTCGTTCTCGTTCTTGCCGCGACGACGGTTCTTACCGCCCTATACTCGATTGTCAGCATGTGTCACTTCAAGTAATATCGGTATTTTCGAAGATGACAAGCCTGTCACAAGTCCAAAAAGTCACGAACTCGAGGGTTGGGTGGCTACCCTTGAGTGGGAGACGGTGGATGTGGCGAGGAAATTATCACCAACAGGAGGGGTTGGATATTTTGCGCGCTTACCTTTCCCTTGTTCTTGGGCATATTGGTATATTGCGACCTTCACCTGGGTCGAAGCTCTCTGGGGTATTTTTTTTTCTTAGATCAACGAAGATCTGAAGACGCCTAATCGAGGTGGATTAGGGAAGTGAGAGTGGAAGAAAGAAGGAGGTGGGGGTTCTGTGCACTGCTATTCAAATCTTTTATGTTATGTAATCAGGCACTGGCTGCCCAGTGGCGTCAGTGATTTCGCCCCTTCTGGTAAAATTTCTGCCTTTTGGCCTGATTTCGGGGTAGGTTTGACCGCCTAGTTTGATTGGCAGAAAAAGATGAGGCGAACAATGCTTGGAAGCTTGAGCATTTCGAAGGAAATCTAGAGCTCTTGCATACAAGGTGCTGTCAGATTAACGAAGAGTCTCAACACTCATTTCAGTTACAGCTGTCTTGCCCTCCGTGCGGCCATCTTGACAAGCACGAGACTACTTCATTTACGAAATCTCCGAAGATTCCACGCCTCCCGAGTACATTCACAATACTTTTGCGATACTTTTTGGTGGCTCGATGATACCTCTGTGAACCCATATCCTGAACCTCCAATTGTCCACTCAAAGTGTCCATAGGCCCTCGCCGTCTCAGTTTAACGAACCTTGTGGTGTTCAATCCGACATGATATCAATGTGCTACGACTCTCCTTATACTTCACAGTCCAAACCAGCATACCCATACAACTACCGATAGTCCTCCATCATGGCGACTAAGTTTGTCACATCTACAAACAGCTTGGTGCTTCGGTATTGGCCCAAATGCAACACTCCTCCAGTTGCCGCACGCTACCTGAATTCCCCTACCCATCCAATCCGGCCCAAAATCGTCGACCTCTGCGCACATCGTGAAAGAAAAACATTATGGTGGCGGGTTTCAGTGTCACAGCTCCAACAAAGCAAACGGGTGGTTCGCTCCTGGTGCGGGCGCAGAGTGCGAATTGCTTTCGAGCAGGCTTTGAAGCAGCAAGGATTGGATAAGCTGGGGAAACCCCTCGGCTCTGAATCTCCTTTGCGACGGAGAAAATTGTCAGGAACCATAGACATCTACATTCAGCCGTCATGTGTGAAACAGGACTTCGAGGGGATCCAAAATGATGCACATCATCTATTATCCTTGCTTCTGGATCATGAATTACTACAGAAATGATCGATTATCGATGGGCCACACTCGAAAAGTGAATCTTGGACAAGCCGGGGACATCATGCGACCCCGTGAGATTCAATGTATATTACCATAACATCTTGTATCATACCAGCAGTCCATTATTTGACTGTTGCTGTATATCATCTGGGCGACATTGCGATTATGGCGTTTGGGAGAAATTGCTTTGCATCTGAGATTCAAATAATCTCAACTCTTGTTCATCCTATTCATTATACCCTCTAATTTAGAAATAATTGTTCGTTGTTGACTCCCAGGTACAGAAGTAAATATAGAAGCCCGCGTATCTTAACTTCCCGTATCTCGCTAAATGCCGATCTGGCGGAATCAACGCCCCGGTCTAGGCTAAGAACTTGACAACCACCACCACTTATCCTAAACTTCCCCTTCTATTCTCACCATGTTGGTTTCCTTGACAGTTGGCAAGGTCGATGCCGGTGTCGCGGTGCTCCTCACCCAAGACAATCGACTCGTAAGCTCAAACCCCTAGTCGCCTACTCCCTACTCCCCAGGCATCGACAACTTGCAATTCTGCGGGACATCAATAGCAAACAAAGACACCTACTAATTTTCGCGCAGATTGAATTCCCCTCAGTCCTTCTTCCGAACAACATTAGCTCAGGCAGCATTGTCGATATTACCGTTTCGCGCAACCATGCGGCCGAAGCAGCGAGCGCATCTGCTTTCCAATCCCTCCAGAAGCGAATCCTAAATAAATATGGTGTCAAGGCCCCGTCGCCACCGGTTCTGCGCCTGCGAAATGCAACCCAGACCTCGCTCGTTCTCGAGTGGGACCCAATCGACCTAGCCACTGCATCCCTGAAATCGCTCTCCCTCTACCGCAATGGCTCCAAGGCCGGCTCCATACCCCGCCCGCTCGAGACACGCAGCACAAAAATCAGCGGTCTGGCCATTCACTCCGAGTACTCCTTCCATCTGGTCCTGCGGACCACCGCTGGCACCTACCAGTCGGAGAAGCTGACGTGTCGTACACACAAGATGACCGACCTGTCCGGTATCACTGTCACAACGGGCGTCCTTGACCCGCAGCAGAAGGAGGCTCTCGGTGCTGCATTGGACCGCATTGGAGGCAAGATGATTGACTCGGTCCGTATCGATACCACTCACTTCGTCTGCACGGAAGGACGAGGCGCGCAGTGGGAGAAGGCTGTGGAGATGAACATTCCTGTCGTGGTGCCGGAGTGGGTGGATGCTTGCGAAACTGAGGGGACCATTGTCGGTGTGCGTGGCTACTATCTCAACGCAGACCCTAAGGCCCGTCAGCTTGGCGTAATCCACGGCTCGTCCCACCAGCGTACTACTTCTAGCCTTTCGTCTTCAACTGCCAACCAGGGAAGACCCAGCACTCAGCCCCAACGGAGCCCTTTGCATGAGCAAGTTCCCAGCGAGCCTCCTCTGACTCCATTCCCTGGGGGTGAGACGAGTAGCCAACCCCAGGCGCAGGCGCAAACACAAGAGGTTGGATCACAAGATGGGGAAGACGACGTCCCGCCCCCTCCGCCCCCGCCCAAGGACGAAGCTGAAGATGCAAATGCGCCTACTCCGAATGGTGAGCCAGAAGCGACACCTACTCCAGAGGCAAAGAGCGAGGAGCCTGAAGTCGAAGTTGCAGAGGAGGGCAATAAAGAGGCAGAGAAAGAGCAAACCCTTCCACAGCACCGGCCGGAGGATAACTCCGAGCCAACATCCCTTGGAGATGTAAAGGGCAAAGGCAAAGAGATTGAAAGTGACTTCAACGAAGTGCCTCTCTAAATAGCCCTTGGATGGTCTATTTCACTCTATCCTTGCTTCGCGGTCAATCTCTTGACCTCCCTATATTACTTTTGTCCCCCTTGTCGACCAACGCCTACGATTTTATCCAGTACAGTTTTACCTTGTGGTTGGTAGCGTGTCTTTTCACCTAAGCGGACAAACGATAGGATTCTTACGAACGTGCTCCAACATTGATTCCTCATTTTCCTTTCTCATTTTCGTGTTTGCTGTTATATGTACAGTACGTTATTTTTCCAACGCAGCCTTGCTCATTGACTCGATTGATCTGGTTTATATGAATAGACATTTGGAGACTATTGTAGCTAAGAACGCCAAAACTGCACGTGTGGCTATGGTTCTCTAAATTGTAATTCTATCATAAAACATCGTAAATCAGATGGACCCGCCAGATGTAAAGTCAGTAGTCTGCAAAAACAAAAGCCCAGCCCCTTTTGAGAGACTATAATACATAGTATCGACGCAGGCTCACCAAAACGAAAATTCAGAACAAATCCAGTTTGGAATCGTTTCGAATTCAGTTCTCGTTGCGAATAACATCGTCAATCGCCTGTGCAACGTAGGCGACGTTCTTTTGGCTCACTGTACAAAGTGTCAGCTTATGTTTATAAGTATGCTTGATCGGGGGTCCTTACGGCCGCTGATAGATGCTCGGCCTGACTTGAGCAGGTAAATGTGGTACTTGTCCTTCAAAGCGTAGACTTGCTTTGGGGTAAGACCAGTGTAGGAGAACATGCCGTTCTAAGAAGAGAATTAGTACAAATTATGTTACACATATTAGTACGATCCAAATAGCTTACCTGCTGGATGATGTGCTCCCAAGTACCAGGGGTCTGCAGACGGACCAGCTCATTGTACAGAGCCTCACGCATGGCCTTAATGCGTGAGCTCATGACCTTCAAGTCCTCATGCCAGTCGGCAGTAAGCTCGTCGCTGGTAAGAACTTTCTTGACGATAGTGCAGCCAACACGCGGGCCCATGGAGAACTCGCCACGGATCAGGTGGCATAGGTTGTTCACAACGACGTCGCGAATGGAGACTGAGGCACGGTTGGTACAGTAGTGGAACGCACCAACGCGCTGGCCGTATAGGCCGAAGTTCTTGGAGAAGCTCTGTGCCACACACATCTCCATGTTCGGCTTGTTGTTGAAGAAGTAGCGGACGGCCCAAGCGTCCTCCTCAACGGAGC